TATTGAGGCAGAATCCTAAAAAATATTAGAACTATAGCATTATACATATAACAGTATAATATTATCACTATGTTAAAACATTTACATGATTTTGAATGTATGTTGTATTGTTAAGAATTTTACTATTGGAAAAATTACACACAACATATTTGTTAAAACTTGAGGGGCTCGGTTATCTACTAAAATTTGTTATAGGAAGTTCAAATCACTATTTTTTTTTTTTCGGGGCGGGGGCAAAAAATTAAAGAAATAAATAATAAAATTATTTTTACAACTAAAAAAAAATTCGGTTGTGAACGTGACTTTTTTGTATGCCTATTAAATTATACACATTTTTTATTGCACTTCATTTAAACTTATTTCTCGAATTATAACTTTATTAACCAATTCCTCAAGGCAAGTTGAAAATAACATGAAAAACTACAAAATTTTGAAATTAATATATCTTGCTCAATTTTTGTGGCAAGCAGTCAAACTTGTACTTTTTCCATAGTGAGTATACAACTTTTCCAAATGTAAGTGTACAAGCTGGGAGACCACATTAAAAGTTAAACTTTGTTATTTGTACAAAATTATTTTTATTTATTTATTTATTTATTTTTTTTTTTTGTTTGAAATTGGTAAAACATGAATGTTTTCATCATTTAAAACATTTCTGTAATTGGGAGTATATGTCTACGACCACTGATTGGAAAAATAAAGGTCAGTTAAGGACTTTTATGCCCAGTATGACAGGCGGTTATACACATACTAGAAAGCCCGGCGGTCATACGAAATGAGCGCTTTTCTAGATATTATAAATTGCAATTAAAATTATTTGTGCAAAGATGTCTGCTAATTCAAACTGAATTACCTAGGGCAGGCGGCGAGGACGCCCCTTTGCTTACTGCCCCACGGAGTTTTCCTCTTCTACTTGCTAAAAGTAGAGTACAACGAAGGAAACCGCTGGCAGTACATTTCTTAAGAGCCACCGCTAGCTCAATAAATAAAGATGATTTAAATAATAAAATGATAATTCACATGTCAAAGATCTCTTTGTACACAACATTTCTTGTGTTGATCTTTCCATCATTTTTAAGATCGCCTTGCAGAGGACCATCCATTTTTTTCTTAAATTTTTACGTCCGTTTTTTCACGAACTCTTGAACAGGCAGCATAAAGTTGACCATCCAAATGGTCAGGTAAAAAAATGCCAACACGCGTTAAAGAATTATGGGCAGATCAGAAACTATGGGCACACAACATGTATTGCAACTGCATAATTTAATCCCATAAAATAGATGGCAATTCAGAATATGATCATATTTTTCTTAGTTAACATTTTATAAATGTAGTCCGATAATAATTTTGTGGTCATGGAATCATATCATACTGTATTGTTAATTCAGAAGTCAAACAACAAAAATCAGTGTTATATTTACAAAATCTTCACAGGACTAGTTTCGATGGTTTTATCACACCATCCTCAGCTGCAAAACCGAATGAACAGATAGGAAAAATGATAGATAATACTCTCGTATAAGTCGATACCCTTATAAGTCGCCACCCCCCCCACTTCCGAAACCGATCGAGAAACTTCGAAAAAAATTTTTAAGTACTACATTTATTCAAAAATCATCTGAGAAAAAAGTATATACGATAAAAATACCTTGGTAATAAACAAATCAAAATCCTTCACGTCTGTTCATGGTCAGATTCGCGAAACATTTCATAGAACTTTCTGTCGTCATCAAATTTTTCAGTCTCGAACTCTATTGGTTACAATCACTACTACAAGCCTTCGTCGTCGTTTTCACTTTCAAAAACCATCATCTTCTTCGTCCGTCTAGTTCGTTGCTAATACAAAACATTTTTTAAATGATTTTAATCATTTCAGAGGTATTTTCGCAGACTAGCATTTTTCAGGGGCAAAACATAAAAATTTCCAAAATTCTAATTCGAGTGCGGGAAAAAACAACTGCATTATAAAAACTTTTTGACTTCCGATTCTTTAATTTTTATGCCCCGCGTATAAGTCGACCCCCCCTTTGAAGTCTTTTTTTGTCCAAAATATCTCGACTTATATGCGGGTTATACGGTAAAAAGCTGGACAAGAAAAAGCAGTGGCGCCATCTGTGGTGAAACCATAACTAAAACATAATTTCTTTAAAGGCCGAGGGCAAATTTGTAGGAATTAGGATCGTTAACTAGAACAGAAAGATTTTTATGAATGTGAAATGCCTCTAGAAAATCCAGTTCTCCAATGGAAGATGTTTTTTGAATAATTGCAGCAAAAAATTGAAAGTGTGATTTCGGACCAAAATGAGCACATTCAAAAACTCTTCATTGGAGAACTGGATTTTCTAGAGGCATTCACATTCATAAAATCTTTCTGCTCTAGGTTAACGATCCTAATTCAATCCAATTTTGCCTTCGGCCTTTAAAGAAATATGTTTAGTTCTGGTTTCACCAACAGATGGCGCCACTTGCTATTCTTGTCAAGATTCTACTAATCATTTCCTATCTTGTTCATTTGCGGTTTTGCAGCTGAGGATGGTGGTTCAATAAAACCATCGAAACTAGTCCTGTGAAGATTTTGTAAATATAGCACTGATTTTTGTTGTTTGACTTCTGAATTAGTATTTACTCGGCATGTTACCGTGTCTTAATACAGTATTGTCAAAACTAAATTTGAATGCGCAAAAAGAAAGCTGCAACCCCTAAGAATCTACCAATTGAAGAATACTTCCAGAACTGGCTCTCTTAAATCTACCTTAAATATTAATTCAGCCATTCAAAAATCTCACCAGCTGAATTCTTACCATTTATGAAAATGCCAGGAAGACTTCAAAAGATAACACCCCTCAGATAAATTTCCTACTGAAATTCAGATTTAATCAAGAACTAGAACAAAGTCTAGCAAAATTTTTCACAGGTTCTTGAGAAATATCAAAATAGAAATCCACCAACTACTAAGAAAAATCAAAGAACTTCTGATTCAGCGTAGATCAGAAATTTGCAGCCATAATATTGGAAATCTAAGCTCCAAGTATAGTTTTTTAGCATTTCATCAAACATTTGAAAAAAAAAAACAAAGGCATTAAAATCGTCCAAGCAAGTAAGTATTCACAAGCAAGTTACATACCTAGCGATAAAGAAAAGATAAAAGCCTTCATTGATTCAGCAGCAAATTCTCTTCTAATTCCTTCTTCACCTATATCACACATGAATGCATAATTACTCAGCAGATTTTTGACTGATTAAATGCTCCAACATCTAATTACCATCCTGATTTCTTTAGCCCATAAGAAATTAAGAACATAATCAGGAAGTTGAGACAAAATAAAGCACAAATAAGCATAAAAAAGTTTTGATAACATGAACATTGACATTTTTAAGAATCTTCCTAACAAATCTGTTGCAAGAGCAGCAATAACACCTATTTTTACAACAGTTATATCGCAAATTTTGAAATAAAACATTTCCTCCCTTCTGAAGCCACTTAAAAAATCACAAGGAAGTTAACAGTTATAGACTAGCTACCCTTCTTCCTTCAACTGATTACTTGCACATCTAACTTAAAGATACGTATGTTAAGTTTTTAGATCATAAGATAATTTTTGTAACTGCAAATTTTTTTACAGAGTACAATTGGCTGGTGCAGCCAAGCTATCTCTCACCACTACAGAAAAGGAAGGATATAACTTAGAACAGCATATATTTAATATAAATAATGTTGATTGTAAAGATAGATAGTAAAATTTGAAACACGGTTAATCATAAAACAGTTGTAAGATTTTAAATATACGTAGGGAAGTTAACTGAAAACCATAAAAGTAGAAATAAAAATCTGCATATGGTGCCAGTAAGCTGTAAGTTGGCATGCCTGTTTGCGATAGTATTCCGGATGTCTCCTAGGTGGCAGCAGCCGGCAAATGCACAAACACCGTCGCAACAACAGTTCCAAAATGGCAGCCCCACTAGCCACATGCACCAGCGAGGAGCAGCGTTCTGTGATTCAGTTTTTGCGAAGTGAAGGTGTGAAACCGATTGACATTTTTAGGCAAATGAAGGTTCAGTAAAAATCATCTCCGTCCTGCCATCAAAATGAAACGATGTGGATTGCTGTCAGCCAGTGTGCTGCTGCAACATGACAATGCACGGCCCCATATGGCACGTGCAATGGTTGCGACCATTACAGACCTGAAATTTGAATGCCTCCCACATCCCCCTTACTTGCCAGACCTCGCACCGAGCGATTTCCATCTGTTTGGTCCGCTCAAAGAAGCAATGGGCGGCAGGAAGTTCCACTATGATGAAAACGCACACAACGCGGTGCACGAGTGGTTGCGCCGTCGCTTTTTTTTGCAGGTATTCAGGCTCTTCTGAAGCGCTGGCGAACTTGCATTGAACGAGGAGGGGACTATGTTGAAAAGTGATTTACTTCTGTACCCTGTGTGACCAATAAGTAATATTTAAAAACATAATTATGGTTTTCATTTGACTTCCCCTCGTAACTAAAAACATTATTAATAAATTATATATAAATGATCATAAAGATAATGGATTTGCTTAATTAGCAGGTTTAGGCAAATCCTCAACATATTTTTAAGGAATACAAAATTCAGTAACTTTCAGCACCAAACCATATAACATGACTGTTCACAGTGGAGCATTTTCAATGCAGCAGTTATAAATACGTCTTGTGCCAGAATTTTGCTACTCTGAGCCTTTGAATTCATTTTAACAAATAAAGCTCATTCCAAGCATGCACCACTTTGGAAAAAAAATCTAGGAAATTCAAAATTGTTTTACATAAAAATTACCAGCATTACTTTAAAAGTTATGACAAAAAAGAATGATGTTGAGAAATATAAATAGTCACCGCAAAGCTGTTACATGAAGATACATATCAGCAAATTTTAGTATTCTCAGCAGTTTTAACTTTTGTATCAGTTACATATACCGAAAAATTATTAATGAAATGTATTAATCATATAGATTCAAACAGTAATTACAACTGCAGAAAAGAAATGGTTTTATTAATTAAATAAATGCTTCATGCTTTCTCAACAACTGTTGCAGTAATAGTTGTAATTTATCATGCTATACATTAATTTATGAGTCACAAAGTCTTTTATTGACATGAACTAATACGTGATCTTTTAACTTTGGAATGGTTGGTAATTCTTTACGACATATGTGGCATCTGAAAGAATAAAAATAAAATTTAATAATTTGCTTCAACTACCAGGCACAAAAATAAAGATTCAAATTTAAAACATTCTGAAACATATGGAATGGATAATAAAAGAATTTGCACCTTAGAGGTTGCTTTAGCAATTCCTTTGCAGTTTCTGGATCTACTAACTGCACAGAACCTTCAGTTTTGAGTTGTTTAATGATATCTAAAAAATAATTTTATAATATAAAAAGAAGCAACAGAGGGAAAAATATTACAATTGCTCCAATAATCCTAAAACTATAACCAGATACACTTTATACAACTCAGAAATGCATCACACCTTATGTCATTGTTAGCACACAAATTGTGTACGTTGTTGCAAATGTTTCAAAATAATTTGCATCGATTAAAAGATGATTTTTTAAGTCAACAAATTATACCTAAATTTGCTCCTGTCAAGAATTAACAAAATTTTTTATTTAAATAAGCTAACACAATTATCAAAGCTGTGTATATATTTTTCACATGTTTCATATTTTTTGCTAACAAAACATTATGATGCAAAACATATCTGTCTATGAAATTCTCTCTCTCTCTCTATATATATTATATACATTGAACACAGGATTGTACTAGTATTTATTTTTACATGGTGTCTTAACAGAAGAAAAATTTGGTAGTTTAAAAATTAACATACATATAATGAGACATCTGAAATTTTTCTCAAAAAAAAAAAAAAAAAAAAAAAAAAACTAACATATGAGCAGTCTAGTTTTGCTTGGTATTAGTACTTGAAAATTAAAAAGAACTTTCAGTTAATGACTAGCTACTGGTGCCTATAATAATTAAAACAGCATACGGCATAAATAAATCATTACATTAGATAAAAATATTAATGGATTCCAACTTTTTTGACATGATGCATTACTCTTCCTGTTTAAGATTGTAAATTCATGGATATCATCCTTTTTTAGCATGTTAGATTAAATCTGAAATGGATTCCTTCATGGCATTAGAAATTATGGTTTCCATGCTTCCAAGCCTTCATACATCTTTTTCAAACTCAGCTACTGCTTTTTACCTCCAGTCATTCACTTTGCATAAAATTTAAAATTTTATCTTTGCAAGGCTTATTAACTGAGATGTCAAGTTGCTGCGTGACTGCATTGTGTATTAGCCTTCTCAGACTTGTTGAAGCATGCACACAGTCCATGACATCTCATGGACTGTTAGATAGGAACATGCTTTTAAGCTTGATACTTTGAAGCACTATATGAAGCTCTTAGACAATGCAAGTTCACTCTATTAATAACACAACAGCATGGCATATCAACTTCTGCTCATGGTGCCAGCTATTGACAAACAAGATCCATAACAAACAGATCTCTCTGTGTAAATAGATAGTGCCACTGCAATTAAAAACTTACCAACTCATACTGTTCTTATTACTTTCCTCTTTTTCAATTAGATGGCATCAACTACCATTTCTAGTGAAGTTATTTATGTAAATATGATAAACTCTTAATAAGCTGATTTAGTTTCATTAAGAGGGACTAACTTTATTGCTATTTATTTTTGTCCGCTTGCTTTCAAAACATTATTAAAATTTGGGACCTGCTTTAAATAGAACAGCATGCAGTGAGTTATTTTGAAACTAATGGGATCCTAGCATCAAGAAAAGTATCATTTAAGCATGGTATGTGACTTCATTTGAAAATAGATGAACAATGGTGATGCGATGTGGATCTTACAGTATTTTACATGCTATATCTGTAAATTTATCTTTTGGCTGAGCTGATGAACTAAATAAAGAGCAATCAGTTTTTCTAAAACTTCTGCCAGAATGATTGGCACAAGTTTGGGGTTTCATGGTCAATGGGATTTCATAATTAGATAAGGTGTTTTCATATGTTCAAGACCTATGAAAATATACTAGCTTTACATTTGAAATGCATTAAAAAAATCTTACATAATATTAAAAGCAAGCTTTTGTTATTCAAGCTAATAATAAATCAGACATCTAATTTTATAATTTTAGATTTAAATTTATTCTTCTATTTATTTAGCTTTTCTGGAAAATTTGAAAATGTACTTTTTATAAGCTCAACAATCCAAATATCCGGCTTTCAGCATTTCCTGAGTTTCCAGATATTCTAGCGTTTATTGTACTAGCTATTTTATTACATTTTAATTTTGTACTCTTTGCCGTTTTTTTCACCGAGGAATGAGCTTTACTTGTCCTATCATCAACACAGCTGTGATTTTAAGCTAGTAAAGTGTAACTAGTAACAATCTAGTACTTTAGGCATAATATTATATTAAGGAATATTTCATAATTTATAACAAAAATCATACTTGAACTTTTTTAAGATAGACTGATAATTTTGATTGTAATATTAAGTGAAAACATTTAGAACAAACGATCCATTCTCTTTCTAGTTCCTTACAGCATAATACGAGGGTACTTCCTGTTGTTGAATGAGCCAAATTCTTTCAGAGCCATGAGAGATTGGTGCAGCTGCTGTTCTCCATAGATGCTCTTTCATACTAAGGCAAGGTACACCATGCAAAAAAAGGGGGGGGGACAGTTTTATATCTCCCGTACTAGTGGGCCGATTGACGAAATTCAACTTGTGTTTTTTTATCTCTTGAAAGTGCACCTTCAGATATGTATTAAATTTATATATAGCATTGTTCTAATATAGGTATTTTAACAAAAATTGGGACTTATTCTGAAATAACATACCAATTTTTTTTTCCATATTTCCATTCTATGCCTCAAATTACACCAAACTACCAAGTTTTGTAAAAATCGCAAAAGTAGTTTTTAAAAAATTAGCTCTCAATGTTTTAGCTCCTCAATGTTAATTCAGTTGGTATATATTTATTAATCTCTCTTTCTTTATTAAACTTATTTGATTCTTCCTTTCACATTTCGAATTCAGGTTCATTCCAAATAAAATTCACCTTTTATGATTTATTATTAAAATTTGTATTTTTAAAATAATTTTTTTAAATTTCTCAAAAATATTTGAATATATATCTATACAATTTTTACCATCACCTTAAAATAAATGTATTTCTAAGCATACCTGCAAAAAATTACAGTTCTTTATTCCAAATTTCCGAAGATTTACGTGAATTTATATATATTGGCGCGTTTTGAAATTTGGCATATTTGTTGAAAGTGATAAAACATCAAATATGGTTTAGGCACTTTGTTAAAATTATTTGAAAGTAGGAATGATGTCACTTTTTTCCGCTCATGCACAATGTAAAAAAGTAGGAATAAGGTGCCTTTTTTTCCGCTCATGCACAATGTAAAAAAGTAGGAATGAGGTGCCTTTTTTTTCCACTCCGGCAAAATGGAATGGAAAGGAAAACTGGTTGTCATATATTAAGAAGTTCACCAAGTGAATTATTCTTGCTGCAAACTGAAAAAATTGCGCTAAGATAAATTTTTGAATTTTTCCATAAATTTTAGAAAATTTAATATCTAGTCATAATTTGAATCATAGAATCGAAATATGGGAAAAAACTGGTATGTTATTTCAGAAAAAGTCCAATTTTGTAACAAAATACCTATGTTAGAACAATGCTATATATAAATCTAATATATATCCTTAGTCGCGCTTTCGAGACATGAAAAATGCAATTTGAATTTTGTCAATCGACCCAGTAAAATGAGATATAAAACTGTCCCCCTTTTTTTCTGCACAGTGTACCTTTAATATAATGAAGATCCCTTTAATTAGAAAGCAAGATTTCTATGGTATTCTGAAGTACAACAACATTTTCATAGCATTATACCTAAAATAGTTTAAATTTTAACATTAAAATACCTCACTGCTAATTAATAAGTTTAATTAAAAATATCATGAAAAGTTGTTTTTATTGACAAGAAGGTTCTGATAACAGAAGGCAAGGGAAATATATTACATTTCATGTGCGCAAGGCCATCTTAACAGAATACCTGTGTAGTGCAAGTAACTTCAAGTACACCAACATCTTAAATCTAATAATAACTGCCAAATTATAAGCCTTTAAACTTGCAGCTCCTCAGGCAGCATCCATATATTATGTTGTACATGTGACTATTATTAAAGAACAAAAATTGTTGGTACTTTTCCATTAGCACCTGCCACGCATTTTGGCCCTATGAAAGAGAAGCCAAACACACGCCAAAAGCCAACAGCATCATCATCATCATCATCTGGCGACTATCATCATGTCTGTAAACAAGAATAATTAAACACACATATGCATGTTATTACAACAGTACCATCAAAATGCTTGGCAGGTGCACAAAGGAAAAACACCAAAATGTACATACCTTTAGACTCTATAAAATATCGTGTAGTGAAAGAATTCCAGTGAACTTTGGTTTTTAAGCATGGACTATCAAAATCTTGACTTATGACATGAAGATGGAGATGGCTAAAGAATGAAAAAAGATACTGAATAAAGGATAAATATATTAAGAATAAAAAAAATACTCACTATTAAATAAGGAAAACATAAGTAATTACCTCATACTTGGAACAGCATGGTATCCAATTCTAAATTTACTTTGACTATCAATCCTAAAAAATAACACAATGTTTATGAATTAATATCCCAAAAAACTTTGTCATAATAGTGTAATTGAAAACCTGCTATGAATTTGAAATAATCAAGAATGAAAAACCTTTAAAAATTTCTTAAAAGTGGAAGAAAAAAAAAAAAAAAAATTAAAATACTCAAAAATTTGATTGCAGCCATACAGACTCAAAAGAAAACTGTTAGGGTTACTATGAATATGATAAGCAATTTTAAACATCTACCACAACATATTGAATACTTATGAAAAGTTTTATGTTCAAACTTAATATATTAAAAAAAAAATGCTCAGAAATTATAAAAAAATTATCTAGATATGGGTTACAGCCTCATTCTTTAAAATTATAATAGATCATATTTTTAGGATAATTTACGATGTTACAGCAATTAATTATATAGTTTGTTTCTTCACAGTCTGAAACTGTGTACTACTAGAAAATATAGGGTGATTCAAAAGTCAGGAAAGATTCCTTGCTTTAGTCTTTGGGTAATCAGTATAAAGCGTTGTTTGGTGATTTATAGAAGTTTAGGCTGATTAGGTGCTTTTCAGAGTTAGAAATAAATCTAAATTTAAAAAAAAAAAAAAAAATTGAAGAGAAGTTTTTTAAGATTTTGTGACTGATTTTGTGACTAACTGTAATATTCCTTTCAGATAACTTTGAAACTTATTAGACTCAAAATTATTTTACACATGATACAGTGATTCATTGATTCAATTAACATATATATCTGTGCATTTTCTGCAGCATTTTTAAATGCTTTTAAGGAATGTTTATCAAATTTAGTACATTCTTTAATTCTGTCATATGAAAATGACAGAAGATCTGTAATATGACTTATAACATTAATTTTAAAATGAATAATTTATTTTGTTCTCATATTTAAAAAATGAAGGAGAAGAAAGAATGACAAAATAATGGTGAAAGTGAAAATAAAGAAGGTATGAAGACAACTGTTTCTATCTCTCTACATAAAGTTATGCATCTATCAGTGTCACATGATAATGATTCAAGCATTATCTCTATCTAGGGATGCTGTGATTTTGAGAAGATGAGTAGCACATTCATCAATAATCAACATAAGTTTAAAGAAGAAAATTATAAAACTCTGCCAGATATCTGATCAAAATTACGGTTTTTTAAGTAAAAATAAAAATTTAGGCATCAGCGACTACACAGCTTTGCACCTTAGTTTATACATTCAAAACATCTGAAAGAAATATTATGTTTACACTACATTCTTTTTCCTGTTGCTCCCAAATCATAGCTAGGTATCCGAATATCATTCAAAGACATTCACATGCAACCAAAGCATGTACAAAAAAAGTCTATAAAAACTATATCTCAAAATGAGTGGCACAAAGCAGTAGAAATATTACAAAGAACTACTTAAAAAATGAGTCCATTGCTAGAACTACATTATGTAAACCCTTCAGCATTAAGAAGTGATGAGACTTGGAAAGGATCAATAACAATTTTTTATAATATCTTTGATATCATCACTGGAAAATAGATTTTCCAATGATAATTTACCCAGACTTTCTTTACTAGTACAGTAACCATTATTATGTATTCTAAATATGTCAGTTAAAGAATTTACATATATTACAAAAAAGAAATTTTTGACAGTGAGATAGAACTTTGGCCTCCAACACAAATTTTAGATACAGAAGAATGGAAAGAAAAATACTACGAAGAAACTGACAGTGCAGTGGAAGAGGTGATGAGAAAAACACCCCTCCCCCCACTTTTGCCGATAAATAAGTACTGATCTTTTAATTTCATATTTGTCACAATTATATACCAAGAGTATTATTGAGCACCCACTCTCAGTGCCTTATGTAAAATAAAAACTTGATTGTGCCAACCAACGATAAAGATTCACCTGAATGTTTTCTGTGTGCATCAAAAGCTAATACAGGAAAGCCAAACAGAAAGAGAAAAAGAAGTTCTGGAAAGGATTGGTTAAAAAAAAGGTTTCAGTACTTTATTTTATTAGAAACCCAACTTTCAATTTTTAACAAAAGTCTTCTTACAGAAGATTTTTTTAAATATATATTTGTGTATGTATGTGGGTAATTTCTTTACACATGTACTCATGCTTATGGTGCATTACCCATATAGTTCTGTTCATCTATGACGATTTGTATCTCTTTGGCTCAGATCCTATGTCACCCCTTATATATTGTTACGAAATAAACAGGCGCGGTAAGATGGCATCCCCGCAAAGCAGTTTTAGGGTTGCCATAAAATGGCAAGGGAAGGCAGGTTGCCACATTTGGCAACAGTTGGCAACAAAATTGGCGATATGCCATGGATGGGTGGAGAACCTTCTGGAACGAATTCTTACCTGTTTAGCCCAGAATGTTCTCGAACACAAGCCGAAAGCTATATAAACCCTCCTGGTCCGCAGTCAGTCAGACAGTGTGCCTCGTCTAGAGTGCGAGATAGTTCGTCTCGAGTTAGTCAGTCTGTGCGGAGTCGATGGAGTTGACAGCTGGGCAGCGAGTGCCAAGTGGGTTGTCGAGTGCATCGAAGAGTCTCTTAAGTGTATTGTGGTTAGTGCATCGTCGAGAGAGTGTGTTAAGCTCCGGGAATGACTGAACCGAAGAGTCAGGAGCTGTGCTGTGTCATCGAGTGCATCATGAGTTGTAACGTGGAGAGTCTAGAGAGTACGTGGAGTTCCGAGAACAACCATGCAGAGTCGGGACTCTGATGCTTTGCAGTGAAGCTGTCTCCACCGTTATACCCTGATAGTGTGAAGGCTGTGTCTCTGATTGTGTCAGCGTCTGTACAGTAGTTCTTTGAAGACTGTTCAATGTGATTTTGGAGCTGTCCTGATTAATATTGGCTAAATAAAGTGTGTTTCGATATTCTATCAAGTGCTGTCATCATTATTCACTCCAAATCTGCGAACCCCATATGAATGTGAAGGAAGAAAATAACGTAACAACTGGTGTCAGAGAAAAAACGTAACAATATATTACATAAAAACGCACAACTGCATCCAGGTGCATGGATTATGGGTAGCAACTCAAGAGTGGTCATTTTCAATTAAGTTTTTAATGTTTAAATGTAGAAAGAGGTTTATAATACCTAATATAAATTAAGATTTTTTCAGAAGAGCGGTGACTTTTTTGATATGTTTACCCATAAAGAAATAATAACCAATGTATTTGGCATAATGGGCTTGCTTCTTTTTTATTCTAGGCAATTTCAAAATGGCACTGACAGCCTAGGTCATATGATCATAGATTCATATGATTGTATGTGTCTATGATCATATGTCACAGATTCATATGAGCCGTGTCAAAACTTTCTCTGTTAATTTGATGATAACTAAATTTTAAAACTTTTTTTCAGAGAAACCATGTATGTGACTTTTATTAGTATAATTTCTTTAATCAAGCTAGTGCATATAATATTTAATATTTACAAAACATTCCATATTGAGACCATAAAAATACATTCCAAACAAACAAGAAATTTTGGAAATTGCAGTCTTAAAAGGGGAAAAAAAATTGAACCTGTTAACGAGATCCTCAGCCTTTCGATGCATATGCTCTAACAGAGCAACATGATCCTTTGTTAATGCCTTTAAATTCGGGATATTGTCTTTTGGTAACACAAGGTAATGATGCCTGGCCTAAAATTATAAAAATAAATTTATTACCACATAAAAATGTAAATAAAAAATCTTTTTTATGACAATAAAATATTTGATAAATTCAATTATTCTAAAAAAGAGAATGCAAAAGCATTCCAACTACATTCAACTTCAAATGGTGTCTTGCTGTACCCCTATGCATTTGCCATTTAAACTCCGTGCCATAAATATATTTTTAATTCGTTGTCACTGGTGAGAACTACTTAGCTGGAACCCTAGGCAATTGTGTATGTTGCCTATGCTTGGAATCAGGCATGAGAACAAAAATAATTCACAAAATTAACTTGTTTATATCATTTACCCTTCTCACCATAACAGAATAATAGTATCAAATAAACAATTATAAAAATAATCATAAACAGTTCTTACATGAATCATAAATAGTTATATGAAACCATTCCGTATCTCTTTTTTTTATCGTGAAAATGTTATTTATTTCTTGTTTTGCTATCTACTGTTTCAGTTGATAAGGTTTTCCAAACATCCATATTCAGTACTTCTTCAAAAACAGCTAATGAGTTTTTATTAGCATCTATTTTGGGCAAGATAAAAAGTATTTATATTTGGAACTTTTGTAAATTCCTTTATTTCAGGCACATTATCTACTTCCTTCCAAATCCATTCTTCTCATAATGCACTTGTGCATTCTGAATGTGCATCCATGAGAAGAATGGACCACTTATCAATAGATCAGTTAAACAAAAATTAACAATAAGAAAACACAGGAAAGCATATTAGTCCCAAACATTTAATAATGTATAATACTGACTAGCAGCCTTTATGGCAAACACAATAACATCCTCTTATACCTAATGAATTAAAATTAACTTTCCTGTTCATAATTGTTAATATTTCAAATCTTCAAAGCAGAAGAAAACACATATTTCATCATGAAATAATTAAAATAATTTATATAATTATATAAATAATTAATAATAATAATTATTATTAATAATTTTAAATAACTTTTCAAAAATTTCAGACCTATATTCCAATTAATTAATGAGATCTCTTTCAGAAAATAAAAACTGGTGGAAGAATAAACTATTTTAAAACAATTACGACAACAAAAGATGTATATATTAATTACTTTTGGATATTTATCCTTAATTATAGTAATTAATTCATCAGATTCCACTAAAAGATTAGGATCCTGAATTGATGCTTTCAAACCTAGGCTCCAGTGGCAAGATTTAAATTTTTTACTTGGTTGATGTTCTAGTTTGGATTCCATGGCAAGAACTAAAAGAGAAAGAAATAAATATACTACATATAAAGATTAATTTTCAGTAGTGAATGTAAAGCAAATTATTAGCCTTATTTTTACATAAATATTTCAACTTTTTTCTTCAATTTAAAAGGATTTATCTATGTATTAGATGAGCATACTTGTGGAACTAAACATATAAAATTTCTAGGCAAGCTTTAATTCAAATAAAATAATTATGAAGTACAAATAGGTATGAGAGATTCAATATCTTATTACATACATCACACTTTCTTTTTATTCCAGAATACAATACAGTATTCTGGTAACTTATATATATATTACATCATTATAATATCAATATATAATTACATCAGCAGGCAATCAAAGGAGTAATAAAGTAAATAATAATTCACTTTATTTTGTAGATTAAAAAATGAAAATGTGTCTAAACATGTCTAAAAAATTTCCTCAAAGCATAATTTTGTAATAATAATTTATTTTTAATTTTGTAATTAATTATGTTTAATTATAACATAGATCTGAGGCAACAGAAGACATACAAATTGAGAGAATACAATTTTTGATATTCCATTTTTTTTTGTTTAGATTTGTGCACAGATTAAATATGGCATGCAAACACTCCCAATGAAAATTTAAGCTTCATATTTCTAATTTTTATAAGATGCTCTAGAAGTACCAGCAGTAAAAAAAAAATACAGTCATGCTAAATAGTTTTTTTGAAGTTTATGCGGAATACGAGATGAAGGTTGCAGCAACGCAAGTTGACTTCCTAACATTTTTCTTGTAAGTTCAATTAAATTTTAATTTGGAGACTACACAGGCAACATTATCCTCTAGATTCCTTTGACTTCAGTCAGTCTTACTTAGCAAAATTGAAAGATATTGACAGAAATAAAATTTAACTGTTATATATATAGAGAGATTAAAAACAATTATTATTTAACATACAGTCCTATGTTTGCCAAGGCCTCCTACTTATGGTTATTTAGGTTCAAGCCTAGTGAATAAGCACAACAGTGTATTTGAATTATATCTTTGGTTTCCAAGCATTCTAATAGCAGAGCTGTTAGATATAGATAAGCATTATCAACTATTAGCAAAAAATCTGGGCCAACAACTTAATTCTTAAACAGACTTATGTGGGCTTCCCCGACTATGCACCTGTAAATGATTACAGAACATTCATCAAAAGATATACTGCTTAAAAAGATATATTGCTGCTATTTTTAATGAAGCCATCCTAAACATAGAAACCTCTTCCACAGAAACAGGATCTTTCATAAATAAGTTGCAAGTTTCTTGCTCTTTCCAGGTCAAAACATATCTAGTATGTATATTGCAGCTCAGGCTATATCTAGACATATCAGAAAACAGTACACAGCCCCATTAAATATGACGATGATACCAGCTTATATGGGTTCTTTTAGAAGATGAAGGGGAACAAGACACAAACTTGACTGTTCTTGCATAAAGCCCAATTTCATGAAGTCTTCATGCAACAGTATAATGGCTCATTAGAGTTCTTGTAACAACCTGAAGATCTAAAACCAACTAGTTGCTTCATAATCTCTTCAAGCTATGAAGAATGCAGAAAATACTCTTTGGATGGAGCTGTTGCTGGCCACTCTTGAGCACGCTGTCTACTATTTGATTCATGGTTTAAAAAGCAATTACAAACTTTTGATACAGCACTTTCAAGGATTTTCAGATCTCCATTTGTGTTTGTTTCTCTCTGAGTCTACCAATGAACTACTACTTTTTGCACTTCACTTAAATGTTGCTTTTGAGTTATAATTAATAAATATTAAGAACCCACATTAACTTTAAATAAAAATACATGCTTTAATTCCAACATGTGTTTATTGAGCCCTTAATCTGCATATTTCATGCACTATCTCGTGTGCAGAAGTCCAAATTTGTATTCAGCTGCAGATACTTAATGGAAATATTTACACCACTAGACACAGGGCTCTTCAATCATTGAGATTTTTCATAAGGTTCTGGTACTTCTAATTAAAAAAAATTAGCCCCACATATTACTAATGCTAAATTGATAGTTATGATTAATCCTTTAATTTTCTCTATCAGTAGTAATTTCCTAGCATGCTCTGAATGTACATAAATTCAGAAATTTTAAAATTTCTTTTGAAAATATGTAACACTGCAGCAAAAGCAAAAGAATTCTATTTATAGTGTACAACATCCAAATTTAAAAAGCCAGTATGAAATGAAAAATACAAGTTCAAAAAACTGATAGTTTGAAATTGAGAATAACTTAAAATATCCACACAGATTTTTGGAATCAATGCAACAGTCTGACAAAAGAATGTAAATTTGAAAAATACAATAAAAAAAGACAATATCAGTGTATTTAAAAGACATTTAGACTCCAGATTTTTCAAATTACAGTTTTTTGCAGGAATAAAGTTATATAACAGAAGTGCTTGCATTGTAGTTTTTGGAATTAAAAGTTAAAAAACCATTTTGCTTACATCATGTTATATTCATCATACTGCTAAATTAACAAGATACACTTACTGTTTGTAATACTCACATTTAAGTCCACTGAAACTATGATAATAAATCTAAGACGAGCTCCACTATATTCTTAGTGAACTAGCTGAATTCTCTAACTTTCATTAAAATTCCTGCACATGGAAAATGTTATGAAGACCAAGGTGGTGAAGTTAAAAAGATAGCCCAGAAGCAACTAAATAACTAAAGAAAATATTTATAAGTGAGAATAATGGACTCATCATTTAGAAAAATGTATGAAGAATTATGCTTTCAAAGGGCAATAATAATAACAACTAATTATTTTAAGTACTTAAACTATTTCTGTGAAATTACATGCATTTTTTTAAAATCTTTTTATATATAATCTATTGCAAATCTGTGGTATTCATACACAGATCCATTTTAAGGTCAAAAGTGTTTCCTCTTAAAATCATAACAAATGCTGGGTTTTAAAATTCTGATCACATAATAAATAAAGTATGCTAGCTAAAATCCTATAAAATAAAAATAGCATATAATCTATCAAAATAGTAAAAGTTAGTGAGATCATTCTAATTAACTGTGTAGAGATTTGATAGAAATGCATAAAAAATTTTAGCTAATCTTTGGAATATGGTAACAGGTAGTTTGGCGACATTTTGGTAAGGCGATAAAGGTTACTAGCTAGGACTTTAGCAGTATACGTGGATAAAGTCAAGAGTGTGCGCAATGCCATTTTTGTGCAATTCTGGGATGTTTTTTAAAGTGAAAATAGGTCAACGTGTACATGGATGATACCGTGTATGTGCAATTCTTAAAAACGCGGCAAGCAGTTTGCGATTGTGCACTTTCTCCCAATTTCGCACCTAATCTTCATGATTAAGCATTTTTATTCCATAAAAGTTCTAGTATAAGCGTAATTCGACTAGCAGATTGTTGGGAAAAATGTTGAGTAAAAAAAAAAAAAACATGACTTTACTTCGTGAAAACAAAATGGCGTCCAAAACAAAGCTAACAGGTTGCTGTAGCAGGGTTGGTCGCCAAAGTTTTGCCAAGTTACCATAATCCAAAGATTAACCAAAATTTTGTATAATCAACACAATAGCAAGTTGTGCACTTTGGTCAATGCTTAGCTGGATGAAACAGGTACTTTTTATTACAAAATATTTTAAGCTGTTATCTGCCAGGAAAATGTTCCATTATTAAGAGAAGCAAAGATACTAACTGATAAATTAATTACTAACAAAATTTTACCTTTATTAGGTATTGATAAATATTAACATGTATAAAATGTAGAATTTTGCCATTTGTTTTCATTTCTGCTTTTTCATCAGTTCCAGATGAAAATATTTCTCTAACAGTGGACAGAAGATATCTTTAATGACTTTAAAGAGCCATTCCCACTGTTGTTTATCTGAGCTAACAGAGTCAGTTCCATGTGTTGACTAGCTCCTCTGTGCCTGCAGTGCATATTTTTCAACTTGCTGCCCTACGGGAAAAACTGGTTTTAGATATGGGTCGGCTATGTCAATTGTGTTCGTTAGCTCAGATAAACCCTAGTGGGAACGGCCCTTAACACATTATTAGCATCAGGAAAACAGCTTATTTCAACCCATTTTTTGTTATATTTGATGCTATACGACACATAGTGCCTCTGGCAGCCATCTGTATGGCCTTAGCAGTGCTGCGTTTTAATACTGAGAATGAGACTGGTACAGAGCCTAAATTCAATCACAGCCCCGCTCCAGTATTCCTCAGTTTTAAGTAAAATTATAATTCTCAAATTTACTATATAAGATGAACTTGCTTTTTTTTTTTTTAATGAACTGTTCAATTTTTTTCTTTTATTTTTTCTTCACCTCTTGACATTTAATTTTATTTTGTTTATTTCAGTTATTTACTTTCCTCACCTTTTCTGATGGCTTCTAGAGGGATCTGGAACTTCTAATTTTAGAAATTAAACCATGACTGAGCAATAATAATTTATATTTTTCATTAATATTTTTAATCTCTTAAGTAGATCAAAAAATTTTCACCAGTAAAATAAATTACAGATTAATCGTTTTCTTTCTGACTTATTCTTTTATAGGGGAAAGTGCAGAATCAGCCACTGCTTGGTGCGTTTTTAAGAATTGCATATACTCGGTATCCATGTACACATCGGACTGTTTTCACTTACAAAAACATCCCAGAATTGCACAAAAATGGCATTGCGCACTCACTCAACTTTATCCATGTACACATCAACCTATTTTCACTTAAAAAGTCAAAGAAAATTGACAAAAATCCAATTCTTCTTACTCTTGTAAACAGCGCCCAACAAACAAGTGGGCGATTCTGCACTTTACCCCTTTCATATTTTTATATCTGGTATAACTAACAGTAGAAAAAAAAAATTCTGTCCGCAATAGTATTTCCTAGAAATAGTTTGCATACGATAAGTGTTACTTAGGTGGAGAAATTAATTAATAATTTTTTTTAAATAATCTTGCTATTATCATATCTGTAAAATAAGTTATGTGATACAAAAAATGGGTGGAGTGGGACTGAAGAAACTCAAAAGTGCATTGTAATTGTAAAGAGTAGGATTTCTATTTCCTTTCTACTTCATTCATTGGTTAGTATGAAAAACGTATTAAAATTATGATACACGAAAATAAAAATATTGAGAAACGAATATCGCAGCGTAATTAAATAATTAATTAAATCGAAACTATTTTGAACATAAAAAATGGAAATTGCACTTATTTCAAAAACCACTGCATAAACAGCTACGCGATTCAGATCATACTTATGATATATTTGGAATTTCATTAGAAACCTAACAAATTAAGAACTCTTTTAAAATCCTGGCATGTTATGTTAATGAAAAAACAGATAATGTTAATAATACAATTAACTAATAATGATATTATTATTTAAGAAAACACTAGCTTTCAATTCTTTATCAAATATTATATAAACCTCTATTCGCTATACTAAGGTTAAGAACGTAAACATCCAACACGTGTACAAGTGTTTTGTTTCTGACAAGCGTTCAGGGGTTAACATCCTGACAACATCTGATTACGTTGATATGACATTTTTTTTTTTTTTCATTTTTACTTTGACATTTGCTATTTTTTTTTAATCTCATGTGAAAGTTCTCTTCTTTATAGAGATTTATTTTTCAAATATATGAAATATTCTAAATATTTAATTTAGTTTTCTGCAGAAAAATTGTAAATCTATTATTTCAATATATTCTTAGATTGAATAATAATGGTAGCGAAACGATGAGTTCATTTTTATGGAAAATCTAAGAAGAAAAATGTTTGTAATGGATTTATTATAAAAGTCTCCATACATGTGTAACATAAGCGCTGGTCCCTCATCTAGAAAGTCAAATTTCACAACAATACTTGATTTTATCCTTGCGGGTAAAAAGACTCTTCGCTGCACAATAAGATTTCTGTTTATATTATCGCGAAGAATACAAAAAGGTAAGTTGTAAAGGCAATTACAATTTTGCTAATAGTAAGTAGCAACATATAAGACGGAGGTTAAACATGTGAGTCAGTTATTATAATCTTAACTTTTGATAGCTTTTTGACATTTTTAGAAGTACTATTGTTCTCAGTAGAGAGATTTTTTTGTTTTTTCCATGTATGTGATAGTAATGTCATTTGTTTTTAAATCTACACATGGCTCATGTACTTGTTTTTTTTAGCTTACTGTTCCTGAAGTCAAAATCATGTGAGGTGTTATGTGAAGGGTTTCTGTTTTTTCTTGCAACATTAGAAGTTATTACAGTATTGGCCATCCCACTAAGGGGTTGTGAAGAAGGGAGGGGGTGGGGGGGGGGGGGGTGGGGTGGAGGTTAGTGGGGTGGACAGGGGGAGGGGGGGATGGGGGGAAGGGGGGGCATGGAAGGGGGGGGGGGGACACCCCCAGGAGGGATTGGTGACGAAAAAGGGAAAGGGGAAAGAGGGAGAAAGGGAGGAAAAAATGAAAAGGGGCAGGGAAGGAAAAGAAGCAGGGGGGGGGGAAAGGGGGGAAGGGGGGGGGCTCCACCCGTGGGAAGGGAAAGAAAAAAGGGGGAGAAGAGGAATAAAGGGGAAGGGGGGGAGATGGCCGGGGGGGAATGGCGGGGCAGTGGAGGCGGGAAGAAAAAGGGGAAGTGGAAGAGGGGAGGAGCAGCGGGCCAGGGTGCCAACACCGAACGCCCCCCACCAGCGCACCCCTGCGCCCGTCAGAAAAGGGGGAAAGGGAGGAAAAGGGAACGGAAGAAGGAGAAGGGGAGAAAAAGAGAAGGGAGGGAGGAAAAAAGGGGGGAAGGGAAGAGAAAAAGGAGGCTGGGGAGGGGGGGGAGGGGGAGGGAAAAAGGGAGGAAAAGGGGGGGGGGGAAAGAAAAAGGTAAGGGGGAAAAGGGGGGGGTGGGGGGGGGGGGGGGGGGAAGGGGAAGGGAGGAAAAAAGGAGGGAGGGGGAGGATGGTGGGGGGGGGGGGCGGAAGGATAAAAAGGGGTTGAAAGTAAGTGGGTCCAAGGGGGAATGAGAAGGAAAAGGGGGTCAAGACGGGGGAGAAAAAAAGGGGGGGGAGGGGGGTGGAAAAGGGAGGAGGAACGGTGGAAGTAGGGGGAGAGGGGGGGGGTAATGATAGAAAGGGTAGAGGAGGAAAAAAGGGGGGGGGGAGCATGAAAAGGGGGGAAGGGAAAGGGAAAAAGGGGAAGAAGCACGAAAGGAAAGAAAAAAGGGGGGAAGGGAGAGGTTGAAGGGTGGTATAAATAGGAGGGTGGATAGAGTATGGGGAGTGAATGGAAGGTTGGTTGGTTTGGGTATCAAAGGGGGGGGGGGAGAGGGAAGGAGAAGGGGGAAAAAGGGGGGATAGAGAGGGGAAAATAGACGGTGAGTGAGGGGAGGGGGGGGCAGAATCTAGAGGGGGGGGAAAAGAAGAAGATGGGCGAGGGGGGGGCCCCAACAAAACCCAACCCGCCCCAGACCCCCGCCCATCAGACCCACCCGGACCCGCCCTACCCGCGTCGGGGGGCGGCGGGGCGTGGGCGCGGCCCGGCAGAAGTAAAGGAAAGCGGGGCAGAGGGGGGGGGGGGGGGAGATCGCAGGGATGGGGGAAGGGGGGGATGAGAAAGGGGGGAAGGGAGAGGGAGGAGGGGGGGGGGGAGGACGAAAAAGGAGGGGGCGAAAAAAAAAGGGGCGGGAGGGGAGGGGGGGGTAAAGGGGGGAAAGAGAGGGTGGGGGGGGGGGGAGGGGAAAGGGAGTGAGAGGGGGCGGGGGGGAGGGGGGGGGAGGGAAATAGAGAAGGGGGCGGCCCGGGAGAGAGGGTGGAGGGCCAATCCCCCGGCGGGTCCCGGAGGGGGGAGGGGGGGAGGGAGGGAGGGACTGGGGTGACTGGGGACGGGGAAGGGGTGGGGGGGGAAGGGGGCTGGGGGGGAGGAAAGGTGGAGAGGGGGCACCCCCCCCGGCCCGCCCGCACCAACCCGGTACGGGGGGGCTCAACACCCCATACACACAAGACAAAACGGGGCGGCGACAAGCGGGGAGGAGGGGAAAGGGGGGAGCGGGGAGAGGAAAGGGGAAGGAGGGGAAGAGGGGGAGAAAGAGGAATATGGGGGCAGGGGAAAGGAGGTGGGAGGGGGGGGAGACAAGAGGGAGAAGAAGAGTGAAGGACGGTCAAAAGGAAAAAGGGGGGGGGGGGGCGGGGGGAAGTGGGGAAAGGAGGGGGGAAGAAAGGAAGGTGAAGGGAGGGGAGGAGGGGGGGTAAGGGGGGGGAGGGAGGGAAGGGGGTGAAGGAAGGGGGGAGGAAACGAGGAGGAAAAAGGAAAGGGAAAAGGGAGAAGGGAGGAAAAAGGGAGGAAAAAAGAGGGAAACAAAAGGAAAAAAAGGGAAGGGGAAAGAAAAAAGGGGAGGAAGAGGTAGGCGCGACTCCGGCCCGCCGGACGGCCCCCCCCGCGGCCCCCACCCACCGCAAAGGAAGGAGGGATGAAGAAAAGGAGGGCCCCCCCTGGCGCGTCGGCCAGACCAAAGAAAAAAAAGAAGGCGTGGGAAAGGAGAAAAGGGGGGGTGGAAAAGTGGTGGGGGGGGGGGGAAAAAAAGGAAAAGGGGGGGACGAAAGGGGAAGGGGGGGGAAAGAAGAGAGGGGGGAAACGGTGGGGGGGGGGGAGGTGGAAGGAGGGCACGCCGCGCCCAAAAGGCGCGGCCGCAGGCGGCTGGCCGTCCCCCACCCACCACGGGCCGCCCCGCCCCCCGTCCCCAGGCGGGGGGGGATGGTGGGAGGAAGGCGGAAAGAATCAGGGGGAAACTGGAGGAGCTGAAAAGGGGGTGGGTGGAGGGGGGAAGGGGGGGCAGTGGGGGATTAGGGGAAACTGCGTGAGAAGGTGTGGCGGGGGGGGGGGGGGGGGGGGGGGTGAGGACGCGAGGGAATGGGGGGTAGGGGGGCCAAGGAGAGGGGAGGAGGGTCAAGGGGGGAGGGGGAGGGAGTAAGAAGGGGGAGGGGGTGGGTTGAGGGGGGGAGAAAGGGAGGGCCAAGACGGGTGCCGCCACGAGCCACCGCAAAGCGCCCACAGCCGGCACGCGGCGGCCGCGGGCGGGAGACGCCCAAAAGGTCCAACCCGAAGGCAAGAAAGGCGCACACAGGCGGAAAGAAAGGGGAAAAAAGAGAAAGGGTGGAAACGGGGGGGGGGGGGGGGGAGGGGGAGACGACCAGTAAAAAGGGGTAGGGGGTGGGAGGGGGGGGAAAGAAAAAGGGGCGAGGGGGTGAAAGGGGGGGAGGGGGGGGAGGGGGAAAAGGGTGGCGGGAAAAAGAGAATGGGGGGGGGGGAGGGAAAAAAGGGGGGAGCAGACGGCCCGCCCCGTGGGGGCCCGCCCAACCGAAAACGCCTGCCAGCTGGCAAAAACCCACGCCCTCGAAATCCAGCTCCAAACGCAACACCCCGCACCAAACGAGCCCCGAGCCGGCTACGGGGCCCGCACGGACGCGGACCAGTCCTGCCCCATCCCCCCGCCTTGAGGACGTGGTTGAGAAGGGGGTGGGGAAGGGGGGAAGAGGGGGGGCCGAAAAGGTGGAAGGACGTGGGTGGAAGAGGGTAGGGTGGAGAGGGGGGAGGGGGGGGAATGGAAGAAAGGGGAAGGGGAGGGGCTGTATTGTCAGACACCCCCACCCCCCCGCCACCCCCCCGCGGTAGGCTAACGGCCCCGCTCCCCCATGCGCGCCCCGCGGGGGGAGGGTATAGTTGTGGGGGGGGACAAAGCGCGCGCCCCCCCCTTCTCGGCTACCCGCACCCCCGGGGCCCCCCGCGGGCGGGTCACACTCCGCAGAGGTAGGGGGGGGGGGGCGAAAAATAGGAGGGAAAAGGGGAGGGGGGTGAAGGGAAAAAAATACCCACGCCACGGCGGCGGTAAACGGGGAGAAAAGGAGAAAGGGGGAAAAGGGGGAGGGGGGGGGGGCGCGCGGCCCACGCGCGCCGCGAAGAGGTGGCCACGCCTTGGCCCGCGCCACGCCATAGAGGGGGACGCATAGGGGGGGAGGGGAGAAAGAAGGGGGGGGGAAGGGGACAAAAAAGGGGAGGGGGGGGGGGAAAGTGGAGAGAGAGAGGGATGGGGAGAGGGGGAGAAGCAAGAGGTGAGGATGGAAAGAACCAAGCCCGAGCCCCCCCCCCCCGCCCCCACCCCCCCCCCCAGAAGGGGGAAGGGGGGAAAAGGAAGGGGGAGGGAAGAAAAGGATAGAAGGGAAAAGGGGAAGGGGGGAAAGAGAGGGGGAAAGAAGGGGAGAGAGAGGGAAGGTTGGGAGGGGTACGTGAAAAAAAAAAAAAAAGGGGGGAGAAGAATGGAAAGAGGAGAGGGGGGGGCGAAGTGGGGTGCGGGATAAATGGGAAAGGGATGAGGGGGGGAAAGGGAGCGGGGGGGGGGAGGGGGAAGGAAAATGGGGGGGGGGGAGGAACGGAAGAAGAAAAGGGAAAGGGAAGAGGGGAGCGGGGGGGGGGGGAAGGAAAAAGGAGGATGGGGGGGGAAGGTGGGGGGGGGGAAGGGGGAAGGGGGGGAGAAAAGGGAGAAAAATGGTGGGGGGGGGTAAGGGGGGGGGACGGGAGGAAGGGGGGGGAGGGGGAGGTTTGGGGGGGAGCCGAGTAAGGGGGGGGAGAAAAGGGGGAGGGGGGGAAATGGGGGAAACGATAAGGGGGAAGAAAAAAGAGAGACGCGAGAGGGGCGGGGGGGAAAAAGAAAAGGGGGTGCCCCGGCCCGGCCAAAAACCGCCCCCCTCGGGGGAGCGACCGCACAGACCCGGTGAACGCGCCACTCGGCCCACCACCCGGGGGGGGGGGGGAAGGGGGGGGGGGGGGGGGGGGGGGGGGGGGGAGGGGGGGGGAGGGGGGGGGGGGGGGGGGGGGGGGGGAGGGGGGGGGGGGGGGGGGGGGGGGGGGGGGGGGGGGGGGGGGGAGGAGGGGGGAGAGGAAAGGGTAGGGGGAAAAGTAAGAAGGGGGAGGAAGAGGGGAGGGGGGAGAAAAGAACCGTCTCGAGAGGCACGGCTCCCCCCACCCGCAAGCCGCCGGTGGCCCGGCGACGGGCGGAGGGCGGAAGGGGAGAAGCGTGTGTGGGGGGAAAGAAGAAGGGGAGGGGATGGGAAGAAAGGGGAAAAGGGAAGGGGGGGGGGAGGGGAGGGGGGGAAAAAGAGGGAGAAAAAGGGGGGGGGGAAAAAGGGAGGGAGAGAAGTGGGAAGGGAAAGCGGGGGGGGGGGGGGGGGAAGGGTGCTATAGGAGGGGTAGAGAAGGGAGGGAGGGGGGGGGGGTGTAGGGACAGAAGAATGGGGGGGGGCTGAGGGGGGGAGGCGGGGGGAAAAAGAAAGAGAGAGATGGAGGTGGGGGGGGTGGGCGTGGGGTAGAGGGGAGAGAATGTAGGAAAAGGGGTGGTCCGGGGGCGAGAATGGAGGGGCGAGAGAGATGGGGGAGGTGGGAGAAGGGGCAGGGGGGGGGGAGGGGGGGGGAGAGGGGGGAGGAGAAGTGGGGGGTGCGAGGGGGGGGAAGAGGGGAAAAGGGGGGAGGAGAAAACAGATTCAGACAGGAGGAAAGGGAAAGAGCAGTAGGGTGGGAAGGAGGGAAAGGGAAGGACGGCGGGCGGGGATGGAAGGGTGGAAAAAGGGGAGGAGGAAAGAGAAAGGAAGGGGGGGGGGGGGGGGGAAGGGGGAAAGGGGAAGGGAGGGGTAGTAAAGGGGTTAGAAAGAAGAAAAAAGGGAAGAAGAAAGAGGGAAAGTGGGGGGTAGAGGGAGGTGGAGGGAGGGGGGGAGGAAATAGGGGAAAAAAAAAAAAAGTTTGCGCCGAAAAAGGAGCAACACGGCGTCCCGGCGGCGAGGCGGGGGCAGGGCGACCCGTCGGGCTCACCAGAGCCCAGTGTAGGCCCCCCCCGCGAATCGGGAGGGCGGGTGGGGGGGGAAGGGGAGGGAAAAAAAGAGAGAGGTGAAAAAGGGGAGGGGGAGAGAGAGGGCGGGGGAAAAAGGAAAGGGGGGGGGGGGGGGGGGGGAAGGGGGAAAGAAAAAAAAAACACGGGGGGAAGAGGAAGCAGGGAGGAAGAAGTGGGGGGGGGGGGGGAGGGGGGAAGGGGGGGGGAAGGTGGGGTGACGGAAAGGGGAGCGGAGAGGAGCAAAGAGGTGTGGAAAGGGTAGAAAGAAAAAGGGGGGGGGCGGTAGAGAAAGAGGGAAGGGAAATGGGGAAGGAGGGTAGGGGGGTTTGAGGAGAGAGAGGGAGTGGGGGGGAAGGGGGGGGGGGGGGTGGGAGTGAAAGGGGGGAGAAGAGGGGGGAGAGAGAAGGGAAAAGGAGAGGTGTCGAGGGGGGGTGGGGGGAAAGGAGTTGAGAGTGGGGGGTGGGAAAGAGCAAATGGGTGCGTATGACAAGGTAGTGAATACCCCGCAAGCCACGTCTCGCCCCTACCGCCCCCCGCACACCCGCAAGTTGTGCATGCGAATAGCCCCCCCCCCCCCGGACCCAACCGCCAACCCACCCGCGACACAAAGGAAGGGGGGAGCTGGGTGCCGTAGAAAAGACAGTCCGGTTCACCCCGCCACCCAACGCCTCTCCCCCCCCATTTTCACAAACCGTGTTGTCGGGTGGAAGGCAGGGCCCCACCCACACACCCCGCCCCCCACATCGCCACCCCCCCATTAATGGGGAATAATCCCCCCCCCCCCCCCCGCACCCCCCCCCACCACAACCCCCCCTCCCACCCCCCCCCTCCACCCGCCTTTGTATATTTTTATCTTCCGATATATCCATATCCATGCCTGGGTTTGTTACGAAAATGTCTAACATAGACAAATGGCTAATATTTAGTATTCTAGAACCAGATTTCATATCAAGTATTAAATAGCATTGTTTCGAATTTCTGGAATGAGCCTAATTGTAACAAAGACGATGACGTTAGCTTAGATCTAATTGCAGTGGATGTTTAGGGCTTGGTGATTCTCATGGAAGTTAGAACCGGAAGGTAAAGGAAAGTGGCAAGAAAGGGAGAATTCATTATCCCAGTATGCCTTTAGTATACCTATTAAACCGTGTAGTTTAATTTGTACAAAGTTCTGCTAGTAAATATTTAGATTGTAATATAATGTTATAAATTTGGTTTCATTGGCTAATTATTTGTTGAAACAACTAGTATTCTGGATTTTCACACTGCACTAGAGTTAAATTTGTGTTTCGCATTATTATTTATGAAGGAAGAGCTTGTAAAAGTCTTTTAAAAATTCTTAAAAGGTCCATTAGTATGTATGATTTATTCTTCGTGCTGCCAGAACTACAACAATTAAGTATTATCAAGTGATGCTGATTTAAAAAATTGTTTTCATAAAAATTTGTCATTTATATGGTAAAGAAATTAAAAGAATATTTAATGCGAGTACAACCAATGGCTTGTTAAAAAAAATAAAGAAAAAACAGAATTTTTTTTCATGTATAGAATAAATGTTTTTTTTAATTATGTTTAATTTTATTTTAATTCCAAATATTTTTAATCACATACAGTTTTACAAGATTTTAAATGTTATGTATTTTATTGTTATTGTAGTTAAAATCACTGTGTGTTTATATATGTATCACTTATTTGAAAATTTGAATAAAATATTTACATATATGTGCAAAATGACACTCATTTGTCATTTAAATCAACATAATTTGCCTTTTTATTGCTGTTGCTGGTATTACTTTTACACTCCATTAATTTTGATAAAACTGATGTATGAAGTTATGCTCCTCTCAAGGTTAAAAAAAAATCTGTTATTTATATCGTAATAATATTATAATAACAAGCATTAAATATGAGAAGAAAAAATATTGCATCATAATCTGTATTTTTATTCATTTTACTAGAATGTAAACTTAAGGTATTTTAAAAGTTGTTTTCTCAGATGTGTGATATAAATATTGAGCTAATAACTTATTAAATTATTCAGATTTCTTTAATTTCATAAATTAAGAAGCTATCATTACCGAAAGAAAATATCAGTAGTTTCTGATTATTCACATTTCCACGAAAAGTTGTGAATTTAATCGACAGTTTTATTAATTGATGGAAAATGCTTCCTTTGGTTAATTTTAGGACTCACGGATACTATTCTGTTTATAAAATGGTTTTTAAAAAGTATATTTATTTAAAGTATTTTAAAAGGAAAAAAAAATGTAAGGCCAGTATTTACATTCTCATAGTCAGCGGATATTATTCAATGAAATGAAGTTTAACTGTAAAGAATGTAAATCTGTATGTACCCAAGTATGTGTGCGATACATGCATCTGAAAATTGTCTGCTGTCACATCTATGGTAAACATGGCAACTCTATTGCTTGCTGAAACAGATGATGAGGATAGTTAAAAGTACTATAATATCTTTTACTTAAGTTATAAATAATTTGTTCATCCTTCTCTTATTATTTACTGTTTTATTTTTATTTTTTTGAGATCATGACAGCATTTCATGTATATTATTACATGCTGAGCTTCATATGTATTATTTATTACCTTGAAGCTTCCTGCACTTACATGTCAATGTAATTTAGCAGCTAAATCATTAGTATTCGGGAAATTAACTTATACTATTTATTCAGCTTTCTAGAAGTAAATTTAAAGTTCTTTAAAATGTAATAATTTTACTGTTCAAGTTTATTACAGTAGTCAGTGAAATTAAAGGATAATGAGTAAAAATATGCTCACTAAGTTAATGTTATGACCAATGCCCAATGTTGTAATTATTTATATTAATTAAATACAATTGAACACAAAATTACACTTCCGCACATACGTTAGCGTCAGAAATATGCAAATTTGGTGATTGACTATGGTCACTATGAATGCTTATTGGAATTTGGGTCTGTAGTGTTGTTTAAAGTGAATGTAGTTTCTGAGAGTGATCAGTATTCAGTAGTCATGGCTCAAAGGCATCACTTCAGTAAAGATCAAAAGTGATGAATAATTGGTAGAATTGAGGGAGGTCAAACACAAATGTAGGTCACCCAGCATTTAAGTATTCCTCAGAGTGTCATATCAAGAGTTTAGAGCCACTTTTAAAGTACTGGAACAGTTGATAGATAGCCTGGAGTAACAATTGCATCAGAAAACCATTTTCTGTCATTGTCGACTTAAAGAAACAGCAGAGCAACTACAAGAGATTTGGTTTTAGACCTTCAGGCTGCCACAGGACTCAAATTAGCCATTCTACTGCTGTAGGAAGGCTTAACAAGGTAGGATTGCAAGTGAGAAAAATCAGTGGTTTATGTTCATTTACTCCAGCTTCCAAAGGGCCGTTTAAACTGGTGCAGTCATCATATTCATTGGAGCCAAGATGACTGGGCCCAAGTATTATTTGCAGCCGAGTCCAGATATAGTCTAAATAATGATTATAAATGTGTTTTGATCTAAAGAGGGGAAGGAACACACAACTTGCCATCCCTTGTCTGTGAAATGTCCCGTTTCTGCATCTGCAGTATAATGGTGTGGGGAAGAATCATGACAAATGACTGCATGAAGCTGCATATCTTTCAAGAATGTTCTGTAACTGCTCGGAGGTATGTGGATGAGGAATTGGAACCCTAAGTTAAACTGTTTAGGGGTGCTGTTGGCCCAGAGTTTTTGATAATGGATTAGAATGCTTGGCCTCATCGAGCATATGTGGTGTCAGAATACTAACAAACAGAAGATATCACTTGAATGGATTGGCCACCTTATTCACCTAACTTGAACCCAATTGAACATGTGTGGGATGCCTTAGGAAAATTCCTCCTTGGACCCTCCAGGAGCTGAAAAATGCACTTTTAGAAGAGTGTCATTGAATTCCACAAGATTTGATCAGCATTTTGATAAAGTCTATGAAATCAAGATATGAGGTATGTATATCTGTTCAGGGTGACCATACACCATATTAAAGAATAATTTTTTCCACAAGAAGCTAGTTAGTTTTTCCATCATTTTCCAATTTTCTTAAATTTGGTTTTAATTTTAATATTTTACGAATAATCAACTGTGAAACATTGTAATTTTTGTTAACTAATGTTTTAGTACAAATTTCTGTTAATAATTTTTCATGTAGTTACATTTTATTTCTGCCATTAGCCTTTAATTTTGATGATCAGAATATATACAAAGTTCAAAATTTGGATGTCCAGTATCCGAAAAGATCTAGAATTTGAACATGCGTATCGCTGGAAGCCTTTTTTCTTTGTTTAGAATTTTTCTTGTATGATTTACACTTGTAAGTTTGATATTCTTTTATAAATTATGTGGAGAATCCAGATCCTTAATTTCATTTCCATACTAAATAAAATACCTCCATATTGAAGAAACAGTAATTTATTTGCATAAATCTGTATGATCAATAATTCGGCTCTGTAGCTGTCTTTTTGCTTGGCATACATCTCGAACCAAAACATCATTCCTTTTACACTAACTGAATAATTTATATCCCTGATGCTAAACCTGATGATCAGATTGAGAAATGTATCATGTAGTGATGTCTAAACATTTTTTTTTTAAATACTAGTAATTGAATACCAGAGCATGGTGACCTTTCATGTTAACATTATGCTTAGCGATGATTAGATACTTCAGGTGACTTTGCTACGAAGTGTTGTGTTGACAAGGATAAATTTTACAGACATATCTTTCTGTGTGTGAAAAATAGATTTTGGTAAATGATAATAGGCTAAAAGATAGCATTTAGTGCTGTTTAAATTGAGAATAACTGATTTGCTATTCAAATAAGCCCAGGGCTGTTAATAGAGCTATTGTTTCTGCATCAGACAACAGAATTTAGAAGAGAAAAAAATTTTAGAGTTTAGAAAAGTACTGAGCAACAAAATTAAAGGATGGCAAAACCTTTAGAATTTAGTGAAAGCGCTAGGATGCAAAATTCAGGGGCAACAAAATTTTTATAATAGTGTATAGAATTTCAACCCACAGAGACAGCCCCAGGCTGTAAAATGCCTAGTTCTGGTTCTGAACAACCTTTAAATATATGTGAGAATTTATTTATTTGAGACTCTGATAAAATTCAAGCATGTGCAGGAAATAGAGGTAGACATAATAAATAACCTTAATGTAATTCAGGCTTAACTTTTCCAATGGATAGTAGAAGCAAGATAAAATTTAGTGGAACAACATATCTTTAGTTGCCAATCTTATGATCTATCGCCAATAGGGTGTATTGGATGCTAGTTAAACTTTATGATGACAGCCGTGAATTTAAAGGTTTTTATATGTTGCAAATAAAATGCAAAATTTTCCAATTAATGGAGCGAAATGGTAATAAATGAAGTTGACATAACAGAAATTTTCATTGTGATGGCTGTACCGTTTTCTGCAAATGAACATACAAATTTATTTTCCCAAGTATAGAAAAAAATTGCCCTTAGAGAGCTGTGCTGCATAGGTATAGCCAATGACGTAACAGTGACGCCTCAGTCATTAGTCAACTAATGGACAGCAAAGTCTATAGTATAGTTCTAAATCCAGAAAATATTGCTACCAATAGTGAAGAAAATGACGGACAGATTACTGACAATGAAAACATTTTGATTGACAATTTAGTGGGAACTCTCGACTCGTCAACTACAGGACTGAACAATGGAACTTAATAACTGAACAAGAAATTAGTCTGTATATAGACTTAATGAGAAAGTATTAGCACCAAAAAAAGAAGCAACAACTTACACTGAAAGAAATGTTTACAAATAAATATTCAGCTAGTTTGTGTAAATTTTGATTTCCTTAAGATCATAAATTATTCATTGTAAGTCATGATTTCATATTTTTAACGTAGTGAGTGCATTTTACACAGTACATCTTACTAGATTTCAACTGATGATCTAATATCTGGAGAAACCCCAAATCCAGAATCACCGAAGTCCCAATGATTCTAGATCTCGGGTTTTGTACTACATTTTACATAATTGCTTATAACTATTGGCATTTTAAATCATGTTTTACTTTTGTAAATAATAAATAAATATTTTTTGAAATGACTCTGAGAATAATGTAACTGAATTTAGTGCTAAATAGCATAAATCATTTTAAGATCTGTATAGTCTATAGCAGGGTATCTCAACCTTTTTTGGCCCATACACCCTTTTCACCACTCCTAGCAGCCCATTTCCCCTGTGATTTTCAAAACTTGAAAAATTACATGTACATTTATTAGACTTCGATTATAATTTTTTTGTATGAAGTAAAGGAAGTATTATAATCACGTAAAATTTGAGTTTTCAGATTTCAATGGAAATATCAATTTTGATCATTGCTGAATTTATTTTAACCAGTGGCGAAGACTAATGGCTATTAAATAAAGTGGCCATCCATTAAGAAAAGGAAAAAAAAAATTCCATGAGGACATTTTAACGTTTGCCGAACTTCCCTGATGGAAATACCTAGACCAAGTTGAAACTTAGCACTAGTTTTCTTGGTTAAATAAAAATAAAAGTACAGCTCAATTACATAAAGGGGGAAGCAGCAGCTTTCTCATTGCGTGATGTGACTTACTCTCTGGCATTTTTTAGACAAAAGCCCTCTTTTTTTTTACCTTTTTTGTTTGCATCTCAAGGAAACCGCATAAGGATGTGTGTGACAAGTTTTATCCTTGGTAACTTTCTGGCCATTTTGGCAGACCCCATGATTCTTACTCAGTAAGTTCTCTAATATTATCCAGATGTTCCAATGTTTATATATACGTGTGTTGCGTAACTCAAAAATGGTTTGCCGTAAAATGATGCAATTTTGTATTTGGGTCTTTTGATTAGTTTTGGCTTGATGTATATATGTATCATGCATAATTCAAAAACTATTAGCTGTAGAATGTTGAAATTTTGTGTAAGGAACTACTATAACATCTAGTTATGAGCTTCCAAGATTATATCAAGAAAATTTGTATAACTTGATAGACAAAGAAGTCATGTATTGTCCACATCAGATTTTTTTAATGTGATTTATTAATTAAACAACAAAAAACATAGAAAATTTTGATAAATACCACAACTTGAGCAAAAGTAATATTTTTATATTCATAAACTAAAATTAAATACCGAAAAACTAAATGAAACGTTGACATCATTTCCCTCCCAAGAGAAATATCTCCCCCTTCCGTGAGAACCCCTAGTCTTTAGTATATACTATTAGCTAGTTTGGTTCTAAATTATTTCAGAGCTAATCATTTTTATAAAATCATTGAATTTTCTTTGCAGGTTGATGATGTGGTATAAGTCTTTATAATTCTTTTAAATTATGTTGATTTAAGACTTTAAAAAAAAAAAAAATTCTTCAAAATGTAATGGGCCATACTGCAAATTTAATTTTTGTTAGTGGTGGCAGTTTGTCAGTACTATAAATTTCTCGGTACTTTTCCGTTTTGCCGGTTCAAATCTCGCCAAGAAGACTTTGTTGGCGACAACATACAGTATACACATAAAAAATGTTAACGAATGTTACTTCTAAGAATTTTTTATTTCATAAAAATTTTAATATGATTTAAAATTTTGTAAAATGCCAGTAAATAAAGACAATAAATTTGTAAAAAGACATTAATTTAAAAAATTACTATGCTTTCATGGTTCAACATCCTGATTCGCCAGTTCGTATCATGTGACCCCACATGATCTCATCTCACTTAAACTATGCTACAAAAATCTAATTCTCTCAGTAATTATCTGTATTAATTTTAATTTTAATTTGGAATACAAGTTTAAATGCAAGAATTATTTCAATTCGTACGAATAGCTTACTCAGAAATTATGTAAAACCCCAGTGCTTTACTTCGCTAGTGTATTCTCATTAGAATTGATGAATTTAACCTTTGACTTTGCCTTTTCTATATTTTCACTTTCTGGTGAGTGGTGTAATTGCATTCTAATTGACTTAATTACAGTGAATCATCTTAGGGCATAAAATTTAAATATCTTGTAAAAATTCTATGTAATTGTATGCTAGTATTGAAAGAAACAATCAATTTGATAAGAAATGGTTGCAATTTGTTTTGAAAATGATGCATAAAAAGTAACCAGTGAAGATATTCAGTTTGGCATCAGTTGTACCATTATTGGCGACTTTATCATTTGCGCCGGCAAAATGGAAAAGTACCAATTTCTCTTATAAATGCCATGATTTTCTAACCTTGGCATATATTTAACCTGCACAGAAGTGACATTTTTCATCTTTAAAAACTATTTGTATGTACTGAAATATTCTATAATTTTTTCATACAAAAGTACCATTGTCTGGTTCATGCAAAGGAGTTTGTTTTTCTTGGGTGTTTGTGTCTGTGTGTGTGTATGTATACCTATCTCTCTCTCTCTATATATATATATGTTGTGGCTCAGTAAGATAAGAACTTTTTGATTGCCTCAAATTAAATTTATGATCACACAGACTATCTATTAAGCTAGATTACATTTTAGTAAAGTAGCTTAATTTAAAACTTCGAGTGCGTACTAATGCTAATAGATTAAAAATCAAATCAAAACCACCTACATATGACTCATCATAGTTGGTTCTTCAGAAGCATAGCCGTCTTTCTTGAGGTAGGAAGTATTCAATGAATTTGTATAAAGCCTTAGATCCAGAATCACCGGATCTTTGACGATTGCAGATTTCAGAATTTTCCAAGTTTTTAGATCACAAGTTTCAATCAATTAAGATTATATAGTATAATATTAATTATAAAATAACAATAATAAAAAATATTTTTTCATTATTTTTTTTTTAAAAAAAGAGATATTTGGATAAAGAACAATTTTTTCAAAATCACGACCATGAAAAATTAAAATGTGACTTGAAGCTGAATTGGCAATATTTTCTGGATTTAAAGCTATACTACCAGTATTAATTGTTGGTAAAAGCATTGTCATTACAGCATAAGATTGCAGTTATATCATCTTTACTTACTGTTTCTTCTGATATCCATTAATCTGAAAATTTTGCTTTTCCTTTATGATATCCAAAAACCTTCACCTTCACGATTTTCATTGTCATCATGAAATTTGTTTGCTGTCTATAAATTATGCCAAGCATTTCAAAAAACATCTGCATACATGTCTTCTCATAAATTGCAATGTCTCACATATCAAATTTTATCTTACAATTTTTCTAGACTTCTTAGATCCTCTTATTGCAGCATTGGTTTTTTTTAAAAGCTGCTTTATATTTTCATTTCAGTGCATACAAAATTTGATATCCATTGTTTAATTGACGGATGTGCAATTTCAAGAAAAGATTAAAACAGAAACATTTTCATTTGCTAAAACGGTAATTCTTATAATATTAATAATAGACAGAACAAAATAGTAAGATCCTTCAAGTCAGAAAATTAAAGGAAGAGCACAATTTGTTATGTTCACTGAACTGGAGTTCTTCAGAATCTAATTCTCCCTTTCCTATTCCTATGCCAGCAAAAGAAAAGTGATATGAGTAACATCCCACTCCAAATATGTCTTGGGATTTTATTTATTGTTTAGGTCAAGCAAAAAAATGGAAACTTCTCAACCACTTAAGGCAGAAAGTTGGACCCTACTTTCCTGTCTACAGTACAACATGAATTAAAGTATTGTCATTGGCTTTTGGTGTGATTCCCTTATTAGTAGATGCCGTAATTTCGCACGTATAGTCCGCAGACACGATTTTATATAAAAAAAATTTTTAAAATTGTCAGATAGTCCGCGGACTATACGTCCGAAATTACGTTTTTTTAATACGGCAATATTCCCATGCTTTTTAAACACATCCTTTAGTTTGCGCAAATTTCTCACCGCTTTCTTGTCCACTTCAAAATAATAGAGTAAAATCCTAGTATACGGTGCAGCCTTGGCGCGACTTTGCCAACACCAAAAATGATCCAAAGAACGTCTATATATATACTATACACGCATAGTATATATACTATATACATAGTATATACTATGTTTAACTATATATTTTCTTTGAATGACCCGTTAACTACTCATCGTATATGTCCCGTTTTTACTGCTCATCATAAAGTCGCCAAAGTAGTCAAATCCCGTGTGCACCGGATACTAGGATTAAACCAATAACGGCCCGCTTCTCTATTTCCATCTTTTTCAGTTTTCTCAACTACCTCTCAGCAGTAAATCTCCGGCGATGTTTCATCAACGTTAGCGAAGATGAAAGACAAAATACGAAAACAAAATACTGTGCAACGTGCTATCCTCGTGATAAGTGGTAATGAAATATGACCTTCGACCCCACTCACTCGGTGTTGCCAAACCACGCTAAAGTAAACGAATCACGCTTTTTTTTTCGTACTCCAGGTACTTGCTACTATGGCTCCTAAAAACCGAGTTGACGCATCCACTACTTTTCCCCCTCCCGGCAGTTGTGCTAAAAGCAGTGCGAAGGATACTTGGAATCTCACGCTTTTTTTATATTTGATCATCGGCAGTTCACGACAGCGTGTTTTTTAAATTTCAACAATTTTAACCGTGAACAACCAGCGTATTATCCGCACTGGTGGATAGTCCGCAGCTTCAAAAATTCGCATTTTAAACACAGATAGTCCGCGGACTATACGCGCGAAATTACGGTATTTAAAAGTGCTGTGGTGGAATCTCAGTCAATCTGAAGAAAAATTGTTTTTATCGCACACCTCCTTTTTCTCGATTACTAAGCATTCTTGAGGGGGGGGGAATTCTAAAATAAATAAATAAATAAAAAATGTTACCATTTGTCCAAGAGACCAGATCATTCCAGATATTGGACATCTAAATTTTGAACTTTATATAATTTAGACAGATGTTAATAGTTTAACATCTGAAATAATTTTAAGTTTGCAGTTATAATAAGTCTATTAGTTTAAGAATTAGTCTACCAGAAATTAAAGATATAGAACATAAAATTTTATATTTAAAATGAGCTGTTTGAAATGGAAAAACAAATAATAGTAAAAAAAATTGCATAATATTTCATCATTAACTAATGCCACGCAGGGACACACTTAGACTTAATTGGAAAGGATAAAAATAGGTACTCAGGATAAAGAAAAGGCTTAGTTTTCAAGACTACAGCTGTATTTCAACAAATCACTTGTGCATGAAACTGCAATTTCTCTTAATTGACAGGATTTTCTTTGTTTTCTAGTGCACAAAATCCATAAATTGAAAATTATAAACATCTCAAACTATTTTATATTAATCAAAGTTTTGGCTGTGATGCACAAATAATTATTGCGCAAATAATTTAATTATTCTCTAGTTAAATATATCAGATTTTTGTTCTAAATCTTCTTTCTTTCAATCTGATATTTAACGTGCATTCTTTAATTTTTTAGACTATTTTTGTTACTTTTATTCCAGTTGAAAGCTTGTGTAAGAAAGGGATTGTGAGTTTTGCATATGGTAGTGGTCCACATGTATTGGCCATTACTTCTGAGGGAGAACTTTACAGTTGGGGTCATAATGGTTACTGCCAACTTGGAAACGGAGGAACTAATCAAGGTCTAAGCCCAGGCCTTGTTTCTACAAATTTGCTTGGACGTAAAATCGTAGAAGTAGCCTGTGGTAGTCATCATTCCATGGCACTGACAACTGAAGGAGAGGTTAGTTATGATACAACATATTTTTTTTTCTTTAACAATTCACAGACAAAATTATTATTTTATAGCTCCATTTTAGAGTGATTTTATTCTAAATGAATACATATTTTGAACTTTTTAAAACAAATATTACATCTTACCAATTTTAAAAACTGCTTTTAGTATAATTTTTTTTATGTAGAAAATAGAAAGTAACTAAAAGAATATACTAACTATATACTGTAGTTATTATGCTTATACATATTTTTTTTCAGTTTTCCAATGAGTACCTAGACAGTAGCACTTTATAACATTTTTCAATGGTTCCTTGTTAAAGCAGCCAGTGCATACATTTTGCTGACATTTAAAGCTAATTTGGTGAAATTAGAAAACATTATGATAATTCTCAGACAATTAAAAACCACAATATGTAGAAGGAAATAATATTTATTGCACTTTGTGGAACTCATAATTCAGCAATTGCTGGAATACAATAAAAAATTGTTGTAGAAGGAAATAATATTTATTGCACTTTGTGGAACTCATAATTCAGCAATTGCTAGAATACAATAAAAAATTGTTCAATTTTCTGTAGATTTGCACCAGATGATGAGTCTACAAAGTTTTATTTGTGATTCACTCTAAAATGTAGAGGATCAGCTTTTCTTATATGTCACTCTAATAAGCACACCAGAACCCAAAAATATTGCACTTCCCATACAATAGGATAATTCTTTATTCGTTCCTTGTTAAGTACTGGATAGAGGTTTGGTGCCTCTCTCCAGTACTTGACAAGGAAACATCTGTTCGATTCTCTCTCCATATTCACTGTTTCCGAAAATTCTTCTTATGCTATCTTTTTGTTTAGTGAATAGACTTAAATCAAAACTTTTGCCTCAAGGTCATGCTGTATGGCAGAGTTTCTTAAATTGTGCGTCGCCAAAAAATTTTAGCAGTTTTGATATTTCTTTAACTTATTATAATAATTTTACAATTACCAAATATTTTTACACAAAGTATCTGAAAATAGATAAAGATAAGACAATACAGACAAAGAATAAAACAAAAATGCTTCGACGCATTCTTTTTATAATGCAAACGTTTATTTTACTTGCTTTGTATGTGACGCTGTCATTTTGTCTGTTACTTATTTAAAATTTTCACTTTGTTCTATGTCTTAAAATTAGAAATTAAAGTTATTGACCTAAAACGGCAATTGTATATTACAGTACAAGTGAAAAAATTGACAGTTTACTCACACGTGTGTCGAATTTGCACAATGCTTATGGGGTTCTACAAAATTTTTGTAAATATTATGGGGTCCTGGGATCGCATAAAAATCTCAGTGATGAAAAGGGGTTGTGGCTGAAAAAAATGTATGGAATTTAGCTCAATTGATATAGTAAGCCACGACAGAAGTGGAATGGTTTCAATTTGCAGATAACTCCACACCACTCGAGCTCTATGTGAGCAGGTGTCCATTAATATTGCATTAGTACCCATTGCAGGGGTAAAAGGACTCTCAAGAGGGTGTGGAATTTGGTCATGATATTGGATGGCTGTGATGGAACCTACCAGGAATTACATAGAGGTTAGTGTGTTTGTTCATTGCTATCCCAGTCCATACAAGTAAGCCTCCTCCTCTGTAATAGTCTCTTTTGACAATGTTTGTTGCCTGATAGCATGTTCCTGGCTCTTTCCATGTCACTGCACTTATGAGAATCGTTCTAGATATTAAATTGAGACTCGTCCATAAAGAGTCTCGATTTGACTCATCCATAGAAAGTGGCCTCACTGCTCTGGTGTTCAACCGTGGTGTTCACGGGCCCAGTTCAACTGTGCTGTGTCATGTGATAGGGACAAAGGAACACAAACCACAGGTTGTCAGGTGTACAGTCCACCTTTATGCAATTGACATGGCACAGTAGGAGGAGTATGGGCTGTCCTGCAGCAGCAGAGAATATGCAGTGCCATCTGTCATGCTGTTAAAGATCTGTGACGTTTTGCACATAGCAACGGGAATTGATTGTCTGTCGTTGTGGATATCTTCTGGCTTCTAGATCCATGTCTTTTACTTGTGTTTTGATCCCTTTGGTAACTATTCCTGTGAGCATATTGATGATGCTACAATGTACATTCGGTTCCCTTGCAACAGCATATTGTCTTGCACCAGCTTGCAACATCCTCACAGCCCTCCAACACATTTCATCGTGCAAATGGTGTCTTTGGCTCATGCTTTCCACATTCTAAATGCTGTCCCGGATTGCACAGAACTGTCACTGCTTAAGAACTGAACTATCACTGCATTAAGTACAGCACTTCTCTTTTTCTTTTCTTTTTTTTTTAAGGCATTGTGGTATGACTGTGGGATTGCATTTTATGCTACTTTTGGTTACCTGTTTGCATTTGGTGATGCAACCTCTACCTTGTATGTAAACTGTATGTTTTAATTTCACATTCATACCTTTTCTTTTAGCATTTGTTGCATATTTTTTGAGTACATCTGCATTTCATACTTAGACTCATCAGGCATCTTTCTTAACAGAAAGAGGTTGCAGTAGGAGGACATTGGGTACTTAACTCTAGAACTATCAACATGAATTGTGAATTAGATAATTTTTAGCCATCCTGATAGCATGGCAGTAGGGAAGCCAACTACCGTAGCTTTGGTCCCAGGTTTAAATTTTGAAAAGAGCATGAATGTTTGTAAATGTATACTGTCTTTATGGCATGAGGATACTTAAAACTGCCATACTGAAAGGCTTTTTGAGAGGTTGGTGGAAGAGAAAGAGAGATAGGAAACATTGCACTTGTTCCCTGAGGGATTCTCCTTCAAAATTAGAGTGGAGTTAGGCAGATTTTATTGATCACCTAAGGTGTAAGTCAATCATAGTGCAAGCATGCACTCTTGGCTACAATAAAATTCATGAATCTAGTCTGATGTTACTGTCAGAAAACTGAAATAAGTTGCAATAAGTACTTTCGAACATCAGAAAAATACTGTTTTTACTGAAAAGATATGTTTATTCAAAGCAGTAATCTGATGTTACTATCAGAGAAGTGAGATAAGTCACAGATAATTTTTCACATTAGAAGAATGCTATTTTTTCTGAGAAGTTATAGTTATTCAGAGCAATTAAAAATATATATACTTTTGAGTTTATTTTATTGTAATTAGTCAAGAAATTAATTGTAATTAGTCAAGAATATTTTCAATTAAAAATTTTTAGCACATTCTTTCCTTGAAAATTATTTAATCTGATGGCATAATTTTCTCCCGAGTTATACTTGATTTTCTGAAGGTTTTTCATTAAAAAAATTATTTAAGTAATTTTTTTGATGGTGGATTTAAAGTGTACTTTTAACAATCACCATAACATGGTGATTAGTACAAAAGCTGCATGGTGATTACTGAGCATAAGAATGATAATTTTCATTAATATTAATTGTCTTAAGCTACAAAGTTTACAAAGTAGTTGTTTTCTTTTTCATGAATGTTTTAGCAATCTACATTTTATTAATTTTGTGTATATATCTATCTATAGGTGTATTCTTGGGGCCAAAACAACTGTGGGCAAGTAGGCCTTGGTACTACAACTAACCAACCAACTCCAAGAAAAATTACTGCTGGAATAGGTAATAATCATTTTTATTTTTATAATGAAATGAATGGGAATTATAGTTAACTGTTAAGTTAAAACAAAATATGAGCATATGACTTTCTTGTATGGCCTATTAAATTATACACATTTTTTTGCTTCATTTCATTTAAACTTATTTCCTCAAATTTCGTTACAGACATATTTCTTATTCAATCAATTCGTTTTTCACTTCGCGGCAAGGCAAAAATATATAAAAACTCAAAACATCTTCATTAAAAATTGTAAAATTTAGGAAAACATAAAACACCAAATACAGTTAAAAACAAGTTAAAAAAAATTTACATTTAAAATTTGAGTTTTTACACAAAAACAAGCAATTCATCCAGCAGGCAAGAAGGCAGATTTTTGGTGCACAAAACTGAAAATTTACTTTTGGTTCCACTCAGCAAAAAGACTAAAGTTGGTGCTGAACCTGACTCAATTCATTGTTCTGCTAAGAGTTTCATATGTAAGCAAATGGCAGATTCATTAGACTTGGTTGTACTTAAACAACTTTTAAATTGTTGATAATTCTACAACTGTTGCATGCAAATTAACTAAAGACATTAAAATCTTAGAAACCTAGAAATGGTATTAATATATGTTTATATCCAGCTGTTGACAATATTAACAATGTAAAAAACCATTTAAACTTTATTTGGCTTTAAAACTATCACTGTATTTTTGACTAAAATCATTTTCAGTAGTATTTTTTGCTGGATGGAGAGGTGGCATAACTGTGAATCGTTCTGCTGGAAAACTTGATTGTTCCTGCTTTGGACTCAGCAACTAAAGATTATTACTCTCTTTCTAAAGTGAACTCTATACTAAAGATTATTACTCTCATTATTACCATCAAGAAATGGTGATAAAGAGAGTGATTCAAATTAAATGGCTGCAAAAGAAGTTAGACCAGCTAATTCTTCTAGAAGTATTCAACTCATCAGTTGCTAAAAAATTTAGGAAGCATTATGAAAGTTGTATGTTTTAGGATTCATGAACAGTAATGGTAACCCTTAGTGTGTTATAGTGGTGTACTCTCAAATAGGTCTATGGCTATAGCCAAAATGCATCATCATTTGAAATCTGTGAATGGTGAGTTTAAGGGAAAAATTTTGAATTTTTTATTCGAAAGTGGCACAAACTCCTAAAATGAAATATTTTTCAAACCACAAAAAGGCGACTGGAAAAGCAATTAACACTTCTTATTTAATCAGTTGTCATGTAGTTCAATCTGGTAAAACTTACTCAATTGTGAAAAATCTTTTTAAACCTTCTGTTGTGGAGATGGTTAAATATAAGATGAAAAAAGCAATAAGATCCCAGTGTATAATGATGTATAATGACAGGTTAGCTCAACGCATGAGAGATTTAGCAGCCAGTATAAAGAATGAACTTATTTTTTGTCTGAAATCATGCAAATTTTCATTAAAAATGGATGAAACTACTGATGTAGCTCGACTTGCAGTATGAATTATGATCATTAGGTATGAGCATGAAAACCCATTATTGGAGCATCTTCTGTTATGGAAATCTCTACCAACATGTACTACTGAAGTGGAAATATTTGGTCTCCTAAATTCTTTTCTTTCTTGAAAAGAATAAAATATTATGGGATAGCTGGATTGATATTTGTACAGATGGAGCAAAGGACATTAATGAAGTAATTAACGTGAACAAAGGCCATGAATGACATACTTATTAAAAATATCAACAAAAACTTTTCTAGTATCTATTCCATAAACCATAAGCAGGCACACTTGTGGGGGGGGATTAAAAAGTGGTTCGCCATTTATAATGAAACACCACAAAATGTCGTTTCGAGACTATGCCCCTTTGGGCTAATAAAAAAAATCTGAAAGCTTTCAGATTTTGTATTATGGACAAAGCAGAAATTTTTTAATGTTTTGTGTGTTATCTTTATTTATTAAATAGTATGTTCTTCACACTTAAGCCACATAAAATTCAATCAAACAGCAGCATCACAAAATATTTAAAAACAGTATATCTTTAGAATTTCTGATGGAGCTAAAACTGTTTTTCCGTTACATTGTTGCCATTGCTCGCTTTGCAATCATAGAGTTTGTTACCAAAAATTTGTTACAGTTTTACAAATATGAAATAAATAATAAAACAAATTTGAAATTCAAAATTTGGCTGTCAGGTGGAGGATTAAGTTATTCAAAATTTGATCGTTGTAGGTAGCGTCATTTTTTTCATAGTGCCAGAAACATACATACGTGCGTGCAGATTCTTCATTATTTAATTTCTTTAAATTTAATACCGGTAATAATATTTGATGGCAACAATTTAAAAAGTTATACTCCGTTTATAATGAAATCACACAAAAGGCCATTTTGAGACTAATAGCCCTCCTGGTCTTTTGATGAACTTAATCATTCAGGGCAAACACACAAATGTATTTATTGCTTGTGAAAAAAATTCTTTCAAGAAAAAGTTAGAATTTTTGCTAATTAGTATGCACCCCAATGACTCTGATTGCTTCTCAACAATAAAAGGCTTTTTAGAAGAGAAAGGGGTTGAAATAGAGGACATTTATTGAAAAAATTATTCAGCAGCTGAAAGGCTTGTCTGAAGATTTTGATCGGTATTTTCCAAATGAACAGTAAACTAAACACCAAAATGAATCATTGATTAAAAACTCATTTATTATCAATGCATGACCTTCAACCATGTCAGCAGCCACAACCATGTCTGATTCATCCTTGCAAGAAAAATATAATTTAATGCTTTCAGTGAAATTCTGGTGCAGTTTAAAATAAAAGATGAATATTCTCAATTGTCACAGAATCTTGTACTGGCACTTTTTCCATTTGCAACTACATGTATGTGCAAAGCGAGGTTCTCAGGATATGTATTGATGAAAAATAAATACCGCAAGAGATGTAATGCCGAACTAGACACGAGAATTCGACTTTCAGCCATAAAGCATAAAATTAAGTATATGTGTGATAATAAAAGACCACGTATCACATTAAAATTTAAATGTCCTGTTTGAATATGTTATTTTAAAAACCTTTGGTTGATTTTAAAATGGTTTTCGAAGCAAATAATATGAAATAATAATATATGAAATAACTACTATAAAAATGAAATATAAAATAATTGTCATTTTTGCAGCAAATAATCCATTTACAAAATTTTGCTTTTAAACTAGTCTTTTGAGGCAAACCAGGGTTTCCATGATAAAAATGAGCATTAAAAAGGGTTCCACTTATCAAAAAGATTAAGAAACATTGTACTAGATTTTTATGTTAGTTATATTCCTGACATGGTTGCTTAGGGAATTTGTAACATTCCTCATCATTGCAGCTTAGAATATACTAGGCATACAAAACAAACAGTAAAATTTAACATCGGGGAACTTAATTTTTTGATCAAGAAAAGAAATCAAATAAATCTTCTATGGCCCTGCATTGTTAGGCTGTAAAATACAAATAAACTTTTAGCAGTTATAAGGAAGTCATAAAACTGTTTTGGTAAATCATTTTTTAATTCAAGGTAATTCTTTGATCTGTTGGCTAAATTAAAACGGTTACATTTAGGGTAAGAAGTATAATTCTATTTTTGTTTTTGCTGGCATGTGCTCAGTAGTTCTTAATCGATGAGACAGCAATTTTCAATTCATTTACAACAAGTGGCACCAAAGTTTTTTTGAACCTATAAAGAAAATACCAAAGTATTCTTTCGATTTTTCTATTTATTCCACAGGAAGGTAATACTGGCCAATGCTCAAGGATGTTTGGATTTTCTGATTATCAATAACTTTTATTTTATGCAGTTCAGTTGCAATGGTACAAGTAAGAATTGTCAGTTTTTCCTTGCTCTTTTTTTTTTTTTTTTTTTTCCCTTTCGTTAAAACATGAGCAGACATGTCATTAGCACCTGCTAAGGTCAAGAGGCATGGAAATAGCAGACCTGTTTCATCACAGTCACAAACATTTTCTAACCACGCATTTTCTTTTCTTTTTGTTCGTGAACTCTTTGGACAAAGCTACAGTCAAAAAATTTTTAACCCTTGCAAATTCCAACACATTTTTTTTTAATAAGCAAGCCATTCATGTGAAAATTTTCAGTCTTTCTAAATATTTATCTCTTCTGAGAAATCTCCAACTTTTTAAATAAGCATCAATCTAGAAACAGAAATCTTTTCTTTTTGTTTTAGTATAAAACACTCATAGAGTACTTTATCAGTGTTTCCATTTTTAGGCTGCCTCAAAGTTTTCCTTTCACCAGGAACTTTGTTACTTTCTGCAGAGGGAACAAATTTCATGAATTCTCCCCAAGATATAATTTCATAAATTGTGAATGACCTACTATTAGTCTCTCATTAAATTTTATTGAATTTTGCTTTTTTCAGGACAGTAAATAATTTCTGGTACCTTAATAAAAACAACATTCTTTCGTCTTTTAGGTGCTAAAGAATATTCCATTTTTATTTGATAAAATTTGGATGAAAATTTTAAGTCAATGAAATTTCCTTTTATCTTTTATCATCAGTTTCTTTTACATATAGATAATTGATTAAATTAATTAAAATACATGCAAGATAACTTTTCTTTCACATTAAAAAGATATCCAAAAGTGTAAAAATTTTTACCAATATGATGTTCAGTTTAAAATCAACTGATTCAAATGCATGGTATTAAAAGCAATTTTCTAAGTAGAAATGTTAAAGTCACTTTATCCAAATTTCACCCTATGCTGTGACCTTGGTAAATGCCTGGCTGAACTTTAAAATCTCGGGTATGTTCTCATTATTTACTAACTGTGCATTTCTGTGTCCAAGAAGGGAAGAGGAGTGTTTGTTTTAGAGGATGAGTTCTGTGAACAAAATGATGATGCAATGGTGGAAGTTACATTATAGATGGTGGAAGTTGCATTATAAATGGTGGAAGTTACATTATAGTCACATCTTCATAAGTCAACATCTTTTAAAATAGAGCAGTGTATTTGTGCTCACATTTTAGTTACAAACAGAGTTCCAAATAATAGTCTTATATATATATATATATATAGGTTTTATGATGACTTTTCTCAGTGTCTCATTTACTCACTTATTCATTAAAAAAAAAAAAAAAAAAAAAAAAAAAAAAAAAAACTTTCTAAAATATTCCTGTTATTTGAGCTTTCTTAGTTAGCTAAATCCTGGCTAAGGCTTTTACTACGTATTTTTTTCCTTTGTTTTTGTATTAAGTTTTTACTATTCTCAAAAATTTATCTAAATGTCTTTGAATGACTAAACAAATATTTAATAGGAGCCTCATGAAGAATCTGAATTGAATATTTTTTCCTTTAAACTTGAATTTTTATATGTACTGATTTTTTTATGGTATGAAATTATATTAAAACTCTGTTTGCCTCTCTCCAGATTTGTTATTTTTTATATTGACTATTATTTGAATAAAATGTTTTTATTTTCATCTGAAATGTCAACTGTTGATATTTCCTTAAGCTATTGCTTTGATTGCTATATATAAATGTTTTCTGTGAATACCATGTAACTTAATGAAGGTATGTTAAAATTTTCAATGATATAATTTTCCCCAGGTTCAAGAAAATGTATATCTATAGCATGTGGACAGACATCTTCCATGGCTGTTTTAGATAATGGAGAGGTAGGTGTATTTAATAAGATAACATTTTATAATATGTAGAATAATATTCAGTAATATTTTGATGTAATGTATGAATGCAATTTCAGTATTGAAAGTTAGATTTTTTAATTGATTATGCCAAGCATATAGTGAACTACTTTAAGATTGAGGCCTTCATAAAAGACTTTCTTAGGGGAACTGGCTCATATTCACATTATGCATAGGAAAAACCATGAAAACTCTGTGTTCTAGTTCATGTTGATGTTTTTTGTCTTAAGTGTGTAGAGACTAGGTATTTTTTGGAAGCCGTAAAAATAAAAAATGAGCAACGCTCCCGCCGGGAATCGAACCATGTAATGGTCTGCACACTGGAATATGCACCCAGTGTGCAGACCACCACACTATGAAGGCATGCTAAAAAGGCATAATATAAGTGTGTGAAAAAGTTGTTTATACTAGCATCAAAGTTTATATTTCATAGTAATTTTTGTATGTTCTGAGTGTCCACACGCCCACCAAAAAGTAGCATACTTGTTAGCAACTTTGGAGAGCATTCACAAACTGATTGACAACTAATTTTATGCCAAGCTTAATGTGCCAGTGTCAAGAGCCATTTACAAAATTGGGTTACTGTATGGATTCTGTAAAAAAGCAGTCAAGGAATAAAATTAAAAAAGCAAGGAACATTGGTAGTAAATTGAATAGGCTACCTTTTTTAAGAAATTCTTGTGTAATTTTCTGTACTGTTATTTTATCCATATATAGCTACAGGTTAAAGCAAGGCCAGCACCTGTATATCCAAATAGGCATATTAGGTATTGACGTCCGTGGTAATTACTAAGGTTTCATTAAGGAAGGAATTCTGAGGAAGAACCATAGGATTAGGTGGTCCCCCACCCCTTTTCCCTGCTACCAAGCTGTCAGAGATTTTCCATTGCCATGTATTTTGAGTGCTTCCTTGCTGCACAGACACTGTATGCTGACAAATGTTCATGCTTTCTCCGGGATTCAAACCCGAGCCCTTCAGTACAGCGGTCAGAGACACTAACCACTATTCTCCCTGAGCAGCTGTCTCCATATACATAACAATCTGTTTCCGCTTAAAAAGGGGGGAGGCAGAATTTCACAGATTTAGCATCGTGCACAATTTGAGCATTTCACACTGGTGAACAATAAATAAAGCAAATAGTAGCACTAAACGAGGTACAACTATCTTCACACCAATTTCTAATCCATATTCTAACACACTGCTTGCAATTTTTTGCATTGCATTTCCATAAAATTTGGTCATTTAAGATATATAACTTTGTAGAGACATTAGCTATTTTTGGAAGCAGGCAAGATGAAAAATTAGCAATCACTTTCGCCGGGAATCGAACCATGGACCTCTGGAATACTGGAACAGCGTGCAGAACCACTACACCACGAAGGTGGGAGAAATGCCTTATATTCTCCCCCTTTTAAAGGGCAACTGGAGTTTTTAGGGGACCCAATCACCAAATCCTAGGTGTAGAGAATCCTCATCCAACACCCTTTTAGTTCGGGACCACTGTAGAGACATTAGGATTTTTTTGAAGCCAGAGAGATGAAAAATGAGCAACGGCTTTGCTGGGAATCGAACCACGGACCTCTGGAATACCGGCCCAGAGTGCGAAACCACTATACCACGAAGGCACACTAGGAGGGTGGGAGAAATACCTTATAACTTATGGAATGTGAATCTTTGTATTCTCTATTCTGAAAAAATGTGTTTTTTTCATTGATCGACAAACTCCACAGTTATATATTCTGTTATATATTGTTATGAGAAAAACAAGTGCCACTAATCATAAAAATGATGGTTGAAATTCAAAGATGCAAATTCGCATATACTTTTAACAGATATGTGTTATGCATATATCTGGGTTACTAAAATAAACACTTTTTGATGACATCAAGGGTTGTCACATAATTCTTTTGGTGACTTAATTTGTGCCTATCATTTCTATGAAATGCAGATAATCAGAAAGCACCACTATTATGCAACATGACTTGAAAGGTCTGTATTACACAACAAAAATACCTTTAATCAATTGTTGGAAATATTACCACATTTCACATATATAAAGTATATGACTCTGTTAAAAAAAAGAAAAAAAAAAAAAAAAAAATTGCTTTTGTTTTCCGTTATACATATTCATCTTATATATGAAATGGAGATTTTCAAGTCTGAGATGAAATATTAAACTCATTCTCGTGCTTTCTTTTGATTTAGTGGCCTTTTACTTCAGTATTTAAAAAATGGATTTTTTATTATTAGTTGAGAATAAAAGCTATGTTTTTATTTATTTAATTGTTTTTATCCTAGTGGTTTCATTTTTGTGACTCATGTATATAAAATAGGATACCTATTTATCATTTATTTAAAATCAATTTGAGACTGAACTAGAATATCTTGTTATGTGCCTGATGAAATAAGAATTTGATATAATTTATTTTGACTGTTGTTCACTTTATTTGAAAATTTGTAATTCACTTAAAGAGGGAGCAAGTTCCTCTTCTCTCCCTCACCTTTATCAAAGAACAGCAAACCTAAACGTTTTTAGAAGAAATGAAGATAGATAAATTATCAAGAAATTTTTGTAATTTGCTTTATCACATGTTGATTGTGACAACATGAGATGGAATAATATATTAACAGAATTCATTTATAGCTCAATTATAAATAAAAATGATGTCAAGGTTTTATTTTTCATAAATAGGTAAATGCATTTGCTTAAATAAAAATCTGAACTATGTCACACATTTCTGCAGTGTTTTTTTGTTGGGCTGTTTTGCTGAACCTAAGTCTTTTAATGTTTTGACTATGTGCATCAATATCAGGATCTACAAAATTATATCAGCCGTTGTTTTTAAAATGTTCAAATCTTGCAGCTCATAAACTCTCATTAGCTTGAAATTTAATCAATGATTCATTTCTTGCTATTTTGTGGAAGGTAGGCTTTAATTTGAATTATTATTATTTTAAATGCAAGAGAAAAACAAGGAAATAGCAATTATTTTCTGTCCTCCGTTATGAAGATGAAATTCGCTTACCAAGGAGTAATCAAGGTTACATAAAACTGAAGTGAAAATCTTATGAGTATGTTGTGACATCACACTTATCCATTAAGGGCACTAAATTTCACTATTTGGTGACAGTTTTCGATTGTCAAAAATTGTCCACCAGAAAATATGTAAAGGCCAAACATTATTTATACAGATGTAAATTTCAATTTTGTCATAGGAATTTTCTATATAAATATTTAACTTTATAAATGTCTTGTTTATGTCTGTAATTGGGACTGTTATGCACAAAAAAGAAAAAAAAAATTAAATCTGTGTATTTAAATTGCATACATCAATAATTATTTACTTTATTTTTTAGCATTCTCTATTAACATGTCAACTTTTATTATTTACTGTTTTTATATTCAGAAGTAATAGCTTATGTTATCTGGATTCTAAAGATAATCGTGAATGAAATCTGTTTGCTTTTTCCTACAGAATATCTGAGTTATTAAATGTAGTATTTAAAAAGAAATTTGGAAAGTTTTTGTTTTATGTATAATTATAATAATGTCTAATAATTTGCATTTAATCATTAGACAGATTATTGATTTATGCCTTGATTTTTAGGTTTATGGATGGGGATATAACGGAAATGGACAGCTTGGCATAGGAAGTAACGCCAATCAAGCTAATCCATATCGTGTTTCTAATCTTCAAGGTGTAGTAATTCAGAAGGTAAATACTTTGGCTTCTTAAAAATATATATACATAAATATAAAAAAGTTATTAGTATTTCTCATTTGGTATATGATAAAAAATTATTTAAAAGTTTTCCTTTCGTACATTTAATATCTCAATATATGAATTTTGAAATCTGGTAAAGGGATATGTTTCTTAACTTTTTAGTTTAGTAATCAAGGCATGCCACCTCTGACAAATTATATGTGTTTAATGGCATAAATATACAGGGTCAAGTTATATTAATATGACCACTTTGATTTGACATCAGTGCTAAGTAGCCAGTGATATAAGGCATAATAAGTATTTAAACTCTTTACATTGTTTATTCAGATATATTAAAGATTTAATTTTAAATGATTTAAAAAATTAATTATGAAATCTTACTTTCTGTGATGGTATCTCCCCCTTTTCTGATTTTATCCTTTGTTAAAGGATTGAATTTGAAAAATAAATGGAGCTCAGTTTTGAGTACATAAAGTATTTTCCATTTTCTTCTAAATTTTAGGTTGTATGTGGTTATGCTCATACAATGGCACTCTCTGATGAAGGTGTGTTGTATGCATGGGGTGCTAATTCATACGGGCAACTAGGTACTGGAAACAAAGCTAACCAAGTATTACCAGTGAGAATAGCATCTGAAATAGGAAGGTAGCTATTTCTTTTCTGCAATATTTATTTGCTTTTTCCATGTATCTAAATGAATACATATTTTGTGACTAGTTGTGACTGTTTGTGACTTTTAATATAAGGTGTGTCAATTTAAAGAGAAATTCGTAGGTGCAGCCTGTTTTTTTTTTGTCCCTTCCCAATCATTAATCTTTTTCAGTTTTTAATATTCTTTGCTATACAATTGAATGGTATAAAGATTTGAGATTGATATTTCAGTTAAAAGATGTATGACTGAATAGTGTATTTGCTTTTATAATTTCTTTTAAAATAAAAATTTACTTTTTTAACTTTAGTGGAGTTCACTTGTAAAAATCATTTACTACATTGATTGGAAACTACCTCATTTTTAATCATGATTTTCATTTTCAGACTCGCTGCATTTTGAAATATGTCCCCATTATTGTTTGAAAGGATGTATTTTATTCTGTATATTTTTGAAGAAATTAATAACAGTATACTGTAGCAAAACTTGCTATGGCATATTAGTATGTTGCTGTGCCACCTTTCAATGAAGTGATAAAGTAGAAATTATTAAACATTTATTATTATATCATTTTTATTTTATTTGGAAATCTTTTTAATATATTGTTTAATTTGTATGGAGTACTATGATATTTCAGTATCATGTAATGAAATTTAACTTCAAATTTTTTATCATCACATTAATCTTGTGGCATCTAAATATTGAAAAGACTTTTAAACTGTTGAGACTTTTGAAGCTGATTTTATATTGATTTATTACTTTGCTGTAAGTCTATAAATTATCATGTTTTTTCCTTTCTTTTAATTGTCTAGAGAAAATATTTTTGCAAGCAAAGGGTATTTAATTTTTTTTGTTGTTTTTAATTTCATCCTGAAAATTTTGTTATCATTGGTAATTTAAGTTCCAGATATTGATATTTGCACATTTGTTATGTTTCCTGATGCAGTAAATTTATTGTGACTGTTTTTCTGCCAGGGTTGTGGAAATTGCTGCCTCTCATTACAATCATATATCAGCTGCATTAACACAAACATCAAAAGTTTATATGTGGGGCCAATGCCGTGGCCAAGCTGTTACATCAGCAGCAGAAACCCCATTCCACTCTCTACATGATGTTTTTGCATGTTTTGCTTCTCCTGCTGTAACATGGAAACCTATGGATTTAGGTAAAAACTATTTTAATACTACTTTCTTAAAGGTTTTGTGTTTGTGCCAACTGTTAGAATATTTTACTCTAATTTTCATATAACTTATTACTTGTTTTAGTTTTTTTTTTTTTTTTTTTTTTTTTATCTGGAAAGTAATGAGCTTCATTTTTTCTATCACAATTTCTTGATTGTGCACATACAAAAACTTAATATTCCTCAAAGTACATACCTTCTGCATCAATACATTTTTAGCAGCACGATGCCCATTCTGTGTATGTCTTTTGAAAGTCCTTGGCTGGGATGTCTTTTAAAAGAACTGTCGTGTTTGCTTGGATGCTCTCCACAGTGCCCAAATGATGTCTTTTAATCACCTGTGTCAATTGAGAAAAAAGTCTGGGGGTAGGGATAGGATGGGATTCTAGGATGAGTGGGGAACCATTGCTATGCCAATCCGTGTCAGGTAGGACATCACAACAAAGTCGTTGTGAGAGGTTGCATTATCATGATGCAGTTTCCATGACCCTTGGAGCGCTTTTTGGACTTTGGTGACCCTGCTGTAACTTTTTCTGCATCGTAAGTATAACAAGGTCACTACACAGTAGTTCACGCTACAGCACTTCCTGACCTGATGAGAGCACGAGAGCTACTAACCCCACTATTGTTGGAAAGCTTAAGGCCCCTCCCACTCCTTTTCATCGGTAGCGCCACTCGGCTCTGTACAGTCGCTTCAGAGTCAAGTGGGGCTCGTTACTTCCCGGGCATACCCTGTTTTTTTCCTTGTATGTGGATAGCATTTCTGAACTTTGATATAATAAAATAATACTGTGTTTGATATTTAAAATCAAATGCATTGAAACTTCTTGAAGATCATTGATTCCAGAGAATTTTGCTTTTCTGTGGAGCTGATCCGTGATATTAAGATGTCTAATGATGGGTACAATTATTGATATGCATAGTAATTTACTCTGTTATAGCCTGTTAAAAAAAAAAAAAAAAAAGCAAACGAGAACAGGGGTTCTCAACCAGGGAGGAGTTTCATAGCTTCAAGGAGGAATGCAGTTAATCTTTTATTTAATTGTGAAGTATTTAGTTTATGAATATAAAAAAATGTTTTATGTAGGTTTCAATATTTAGCAATATTTTCTGTTTTGTTTTGTTTAATTTAATGAAACACATTAAAAATAACCAATTTAAATAAATGTATATGTATTTTTTTAGCTTTAGAAAGATGAGAGGAAAAAAGATCATCCAGCAGTAGTGAAAGGGATGCATGAGAGGTTGAGAATCACTGAACTAAAAGCTAATTGTAGAGTCTACTAAACAAAATACTGTAGCAAAAGTGTGTTATATTAATAATGTTTAATAAAATTACACATTAATCACAAAATATAATATGGCAAAAAGCAATCCATAGAAATAATTTATTTTACACTTAATTTTCTCAAATATTGTTAATGAATAATTTGAAAAATGCTAACTATTCAGATAATAATTCTAGGTTCTTGAATATTTCCTTTTCTTTAAAAGTTTTTTGGATTTGCATTTTTGTTATAGTGGTATTTTCTGCTCGCTATCTTTCCCAACAGCATCCAAAGTGACTTTTAATCTTGTTTTCAAGTTCAGTATTTTTACTTTTTGTTTTGCAGGTATTTTAATGTAAGATTACTTAAAATTTACTGTATACATGCATTCATAAAACTGCAACTTCAAAAGTGGCCAATTGCAGTAATCTGGAAAGCAGAGAATGAACTGCCATTACATGCCGATTTCTTTTACTTTGTCTGCTACATAAAAAAGTACTTCAATGATGTAATGAATCTTTTAGAGCAATGGTTTTCAGCTTTTTTTGCTGCATGTATCCGTTTTACCATTGCTAGAAAATCAATCATTTCTTCCTTTTCCAAACTTGAAAAATATGCATTTATCTATATTTAGTTTATTTTCTAAAGTGTTTTATAAATTAGACAAAAAAGTACAGAAAGTGTTGGTGAGTATCATAACTTGAAAAAAGTAGTTTTATACATTAACTAAAACTGAATTAAGAAGCTCCGTGGGTGAGAATCCCTCTTTTGGAGTGTTATAAATGAAAATAAATTATTTTTCATTGAGATAAGGATAAATTTATGTCTAAGAAATGCATAAAATATCTATCATCATAGAAAAGTAGTTTTTCTTTTTAGAGATACATTTCCTTTTTGTGTAGTATAGTTGAAGTCCAGAAATCCGCAAAGCTTGGGACCAGAGGTTGTGCGGATTTTAGGATTTTGCAGATTTCAGGACAGAAAAGATAAAGCATAATATTCGTACTAAAAGTGCAAAATAAATAAGGCGTATTAGATACATTTAATTAAATTATTATATACATTATTGCAGTAATTTATTATAGTATTATTACATATATAAATTGATTATATTATTCATTGTATTATATGTACACATCTTCGAAGTTTGCCGATTCTCATGCAAAGATTTCTGGTTTCGGATTCCGGTGTTAGAATCACTGTTGCGGTAAAATTTCAACAGCTTTTCTTTATTTTTCCGTATATCAATACACAATTGTGTTGCAATTGCATACCATTCTGCTATAAATCGAGGAGTAGCACCTGCTTCCATCTTTTGCAGAATTTGCACTTTTTTGCGTTACCGTCAATGCAACGTGTTTACGTTTTTCAACATTGCAAGCAATAAAATCATGAGTGTGTTTCTTATCTGTCACTGTATTAAAAAGGGCTGAAATTTAAAATATTCTTAATTTATCCACAAAATATCATCATTAAAAAATAGGCAGCACTAAACAATTTTGTGAAATAACTAAGCTCAGAAAATACAACAACGTGAATCGTGAACTTGAATGAAGAGTTGAGTGAATCATCTGCTTTTTTACCTCGATGCAGAGATTAGGGGAAAAAACTTTTATCTTATTTTTTTAAACTTTTTTTATGTCAATAATTTGGTATTTCCGTTATGACTCATCATTATTCGGTAATAATGACGTCATTATTCAGTAAGTATTTTTTCTTCGATATTTCGTACTCAATGTTGCGGTTTCCGGAACCTATAAACTGAATGTTTATATTTTGAGAGGCAATGCGGATTTCAGGTCGCCGGATTTTCGGTATTTGACTGTATTTGAGTATTTAATGTTGTAACTAAAGCATTTTGGTGGTTGCAAATAAATTTATTTGATGTTCAAGTTAGAGAGTTCTCTTTTTTAGAGAAGTGTATTATAATTATTAATGTTGATGTTAATTTGAATTCTTAGACTTGTTGGTCATTTTTGAAGTGGTCTTCTGTAGTAATTAATTCCTATGTGAGGATTCGCTCTGTATTATTTATTAAATAAAATAATATTAATTATGTGTCATTGAAGTAAATCCATATATGAACTTATATTAAATTAACAAATTTTTTAATAGTCATTATTTTAAAGTAGCTATTGCAAATTTTTAAAATTTATTTCTGCTTTTAAAATTATTGCAAACTTTAAATTTCTATTTGTTTGACTATTTATCTTAAACTGTTGTGGGAAGGACTGAATCTAAGATATGCATAATCTAAGATTTAAGATCAAGACTTAAGATATGCTAAAATTTAAGAACTAAACTGTAAGTGTTTTTAATAAAAGTAAACATAACTTAGATGGTGACATTTGGACAGCAATTCTGTAACTTTTCTTGAAGAAAAATAAAAAATATCTTTCATTGCTGATCACTTTTTTATCTTCAGTTATTTGTTCTCGATTTTCTTCTAAATTTTTCCATAGTACTTTTTCAATTGCTGAATTAAATATCCTTGAAGCAGCATTCATTAAAGTCTATCAACTTTAGTTAAAGATTTTAATTCTGATTCTGTTCTTTCAGAAGTATATAAAAGTCTTTCCTTGTGTAATATTTGCCCATTTTCCTCAATAGATGGTACCATAATTATTTATTCTTATTTTATTTATCTTAAGTGATGAAATTTTGACGAAGTGGCACAGAATATGTTTTTCTACCTATGTATAACCTGTATATTAGAAATATGACTTTTCAAAATGCATACAGCATAACATAAACTGAAACCACTATATAGAATATAGTAAATAAAATTCATTTAAATATTTGTTTTTATCCAGCGAAAACAGATAGTTTTTACATTCCATGGATAACAAACCAAAATTTAAAAGGTTACACAAATGTTGTTTGTTGCATTATGTTATTTAATACTGTATTTTCATTAAATACTTTTTTTAGACCATACTTTCATAACTCCCTTTATTCTGTGTTATTGAATACTTAAGTTATTATATTTTATTTCCTAATTTTTCTAACTTGCAATTGACTATTTAAATTCTCTTTAAAAATTAATTGTTGTATAAATTACCTCTTTATGTGTATGTAATTATTTGGAAAAAAAAAGAAAAATTTTATTCCTTTTCAGATGTGGTTTTGACAAACCGAGTAAGTGATAGCCTGAGACAATCATTTGATGAAGAGGTAATTTTTTTGTCTGTTTTATTAATTATTTGCTTGTTTTATATTAATTATTTATGGAACAATAATTGTTGTTTTATATTCATTATTTATGGAACAATAATTGGTTATGGAACAATAATATTTTGGCACAAAGAAGAAAACATTCTACAGATATGAAACTATGTAAATCAGTAGAATACAGGCTGGTTAGTTGCGCCATATTTGAGTCATTATCATGAATGACCTGAGTTTAATTAGATTGCTCATCACTGTATATCCTAAAGTGGTCCTACTGTGTATCCTAAATGGTAGCCTTGTGAGTCAGTATGTAGCTGATGCTTCATAAATATAGAAAACACTATAAATGCAGCCAAGAGAAGGGAGTGAAAAAAATGTCATATAGAGTCCAGAGATGTTGACTTATGCAATTTACAGATTTTAGGAGAATTCTTAGACATTCAGCGGTAAATAGCATGTAGATAGCAACAATGGACTGAGTGACAGTAAAGGACCCAGTATACAGACAGCAGCAAAAGCTGTAGAGGTGGACAGTGAGTGCTGTAAGTTAGTTTAGAATAGCGGTTACAACATGTTTGTAATTCAGAAGGAAAGGGAATTCCAATTCGCACTTGATAACAGCAGCATATCCATGGATATCAACTCTCATTTTCAAATGTGGCTAGATACACCTGCAAAAGCAGCTAAAAAGTCGCTAAATTCAAAAGGAATTTCACTAAAAGTAGTAGCTAAAATTTAAAAAAAAAAGTATAATCCATATCCTATAATAAGTTTTGTTACTCGTTATTTTTTAAACTGAATCTTCATGAAAATATAAATAATGTCCTAATTGTTCTGTAAACCTTCAAAGAGTTTTCGCGGATCACCAGTTGGCGACCGCTGGTTTAGAATATCCGAAACTCTTGCCAAGTGACACATTTTCTTATTTTATGATCGTATGTGTCTTACATCTTATTTCTATTTCAGAATGAACCAATTGATTAAAAAGTTGCTGTCTTTTTTGTAAGATACATTAAGCAAAATCACACTATTCAAGTTAATGTGGAGTCTACAAAAGGAGTTATTTTTCAACCTAACTTCTGGGCTAGTGCCAGAATTTAAGTTTCATTTCATTGTCTTCTATACATTGATACATATATATACTCAGTACTATTTGTGTAAGTATTTGTAAGATAATTAGAAAATAAATACTCTAGGAAATTTCTAATATGTATGAAATAATCTTGCTACTAAATAATTTTACTGGTTAATTACAGATTGTTTTCCTAATGGTTTTTATGTACTTATTAAATTTGGTGATGGCTATTATACCTTTTTAGTTTAATGAAGTAAAATTGTTATCTCTTTTACTTTCATTAACATAATTTTTCTGTTTAGATGCTTTGGAAATAAGATTTTTCTTGTTTCTTTTTAGGAATCAAGTGATTTGAAGTTTAATGTTGATGGCAAATTGATATATGTTCATAAAGCTATACTGAAAATCAGGTAAGATATAAGACAAACTGATGTATTTACACTGATATAGCATGGCAATTTTAAATGAAATACTAATTTTCTTTTATGTTACCTCAGTAAGTTTATGAGTAATAATTATGGTTTTGCTTTTAGGTGTGAACATTTTAGGTCTATGTTTCAAGCACATTGGGGAGAAGATGAAAAAGAGTAAGATGTTTATGTACCCCTTTTCTTATATTTATCAATTTTCAATTGTTTCATATTTTTATTAACAAGTGGGCATGTGTATTAGCTTATCTGTAATTTATATTCTTTTTAAAATAGAACTGATATCTTATCATTTCTTTTAAATTTTTAGCACAATAGATATAACTCAATTTTCATATCCTGTTTATCGAGCATTCCTGAAGTATTTATACACTGATGAAGTAGATCTACCTCCCGAGGATGCTATTGGTATGTGCTTTGGAGTTAATTGTTTCAAAGTTTGGTATAATAAGCTTTGAGTTGTTAAATAAATATGTGAAATATCTGTGCAAAATTTTATGTTATTAGGCATTGTTGGGAATTAAATTGTTGGAGAGCAGTGTGAGGAAAACTTAGTCTTCAGTGAAACTTCAGTAAAAAAGTAATCAGTAATTGACTGACCAAATGAAATTTGACCTCTAAAATGTTTTGGGTCTAAAATTTTAAATTTTATGTTACTATTTTACTTTTTATGAGGAATTAAACTTTCTGACTAAATTAACATCTAATTTATGAAATTTATTTTGTATATAATTTTGCTGTGCGAATATGTATATATATGATTTGTATGTTTTTTTTTGGGGGGGGGCAGGAGAAAACTTTTAATATAAAATATCATATAATATTTAATTTTGGTTATGACGAAGTTTTATCTTATACATTAAATTAGAATAAGTTACCAAGAAACTTATTCTGATTTAATGTATTACCAAGAATGTGCTACCAAGAAAGGGAGTTTATTGCAGTGTTTCTTTTGAAATGCAGTGTTATTTCTTTCAAGAAATGAAATGTATTTCTCAGTTAAAAGTTAGCATAAATTCCTTATTAATTGTGAACTGAAAGTTGTAAACCAGAAAAATCAGACTGTTATATTCATATATAGAGAGTGCTTCATCATCAGGGAAATATTTGTAATTATCATATATTTGATAATTACAAATAAGTAGAAGCATGAAATGTAAATAGGATGAAATTTTTACATTTTGTTATTAACAGCTTAGGAAATTACAAAATGAAAATGCAAGTAAGATGCATGGTATTTTAAGTTAAGGGAGGTAAAAAATTTCTAGGAATTTCTGTAGTATTCAGTAGGATATAACCAATTTATCACAAAAACTTTGAATATGGAGATTGATAGTAAGTGTTAACTCTTTCACAACCAATCCACTCGATACGGCCCTACATTGAAACAACCAGAACCGTCCGAAAATGGCCGAGATTGTAATCTTGTTTTCTTCCCTCCTCCTAAGGTATGCAGTAGCAGGTGCAGTTTACCCAAATGCCTTTTTATCAGTTTACTGCAGACAGCTTGTCCTAAAAGGTTTCTTATCTTTTGCTTGTTCATGTCATTTTGTTGTTGATTCTTTTGTGGTACAGTGTGCTTTTAAGCTTTAAACAGCAATAAAATTGCAGTTTAAAAATTTAAGGATTATATTTATTTTTAATCAATTTATTCCTTCCTATAAAAATAACGGAAATAAACCAAATCTAAGATGTGATCATAACAAAGCCAGAAAGCTTGTTGGTCTGACCTTCAGAATAGTTTTATAAAGAATGAGGTCAAAGGGTAATGGAATCTGTTAGAAAGTACAAAGGATGTCACTCGAAATCTTCACACCTATTTTCTGCGTTAATGGACGGGGAGGGGAGGAAATTGCTGTGAAACTAGAAAAGTTTTTCGGGCAGTTCGGTACTTTGAGGGTACAGTTTAGCGAAGGGTCTGGATTTCAAAGAGTTAATGAAACACCAGTTTATTTTAAACATTAAAAGAAATTTTTTTTGTACGGGGGGGGGGGAAGACACCACTGCATGATAATAGTGTTTGAACATTTTTAAGTTGATCATATTTGTAAATAGTGAACTTAAAACTAAAAACTAAACTTTATGTTCAATTTTGCAGTTCTGAAACATTATAGAATTTTAACTATAAATTACTAAATGTATTGGTTTCATGAAACTTGTACATTTGCATAAACTTAAAGACTTTTCTTAAATATATAATATTAGCTTGTATATAATGTAAGACCTTAAGGTTTCTTAAAACCTTAAGATTTCTTAAGGACCTTAAGAATTCTTAAGGTTTATATAAAATCTTAAGAATATGTGTGTTACAAATGAAAGGAATCCTGTAAGAGAACAGACATTATGTTTTTTCATTTCTTTATACTCCATTTCATCAAAAACGCTAATTCTAAATTATTATGTAATATATTCCATTTAAAAAGACGTAAGTATTTTCTACATGAAGATATTAATATGAGAGTGTTATGAAGCCTAACATATTATGAAGCATTGATGGGCAAGTTTTGCATGTTAAAATAGGAACTGAAATTTCCAGAATCATTGTTATTTGCTTTTACCTATGACAGTGATTTCCATTCTGGTTACATATGGTGAGTGACTATTTTTACAGTAGTATTATAATAGAGTATGGACATATTCAATCATTAACAAGTAGTATTTGGGAGAAATAAATGTGTTATACAATTAGCCAAAAGACTTGTAATTCCAGATTGAGGTACAAATGTGGGGATGTAGAAGTACTTAACTGGCTTAAATTGACAGAAAGGCTTATTAGATAGCGAATCTGAATTATTCTTTACATATGAATAGTTTGAGAACTGTAGTGCTCAAAGAAGATGGTCTTGAATACATAATAGCACCATGAAAATGGTGATTGTAAAAGGTTATATAAATTTAATTTTTATCATAAATTATCACTTTTATAACAATAAAATGTAAATTCAAATGTATATTCTTAAAAAAATAATCTTGCATTTATCTTGTGTAGTACTGGGCAATTATGGTTTTGATTATTTAAAATCTAATCATTTAGCTGATCCCAATATTGCAACATATATGCAGTGATTACAGAAGTTGATTGCTTCCCGCCCTCCTCTTTCCTCTAAATGGGGCAAATGATTGGTTCTAATAATGTCTTATCTCTCAAAGTACAGTATTTTGTTGAGCATTGGCTGGCAGATTCAAATCTGTTTAATAACTGTTTCATTAGTTGATGTGCCAAAATCAGTGTTAGTTCACAATGTAACTTCTTTTGAAAATTGAGATTTTATTAAACAACAACAAGATTTCTAGCGGAAGAAGAATAATTCAAATCTTTGTGAATGCACTAGACTTGTTTTAAAAATACATATTCAGAGAAGATTTTACACTTAAGGAGTTCAAACTTATTACATATATCTTGTTTGTTTTTCATATTAAAAAAAAAACCACAGGTAATGGGAATTTTAAAGATAGTATAAATGGTTCGTGGAGAGTAAGAGGAAATGGGATACATATTACCAGTTAATATAGATGCAAATGATATCTCGAATAATAATTTGTACTGCATTATAAGAAAGGAATAATATTGTAATCTGATATTTTATCTACTCCCATATAATTTAGGATGCATTTTCCACTAACATTCAGAAAAATATATTGGGAAATCTTAATTTCACATGAAGGCAGAATCATTTCATATTCAAACTGGATTTTTAAGTTTCAGGATGCATAACTAAAAAGTTTTTTTTTTATTATTATTTCTGTTTGCAAAGCTGATCAGACTTCTTGGATTAATTTATATATATTCGTGGGGGGAAGAAAGAAGAAAAGAGAAGCATAACTTAGGTATTATTAAAAACTGCCCATATCAATGCATGTTATAGATTTTTAGTGCAAGGCACTGTTTTCCATGACTTTTAGATTACTGTTCAATATTTATTATCATAATCATCTTACATTGAGGATATTCAGTAAAATGATCTTGTTAAGTTTTTAATATTTTTGCTAGTATTTTAACGTAGTTTTTTTTTTATTTATTAGTCGTTTTAAACATGATGCAATGTTTTCTCTTACATAGTCATTTGATAATCTTCTGCTTATATGTGGTATTTATGTATTTGTTTTATGTAAAGTATGTGGATATTTAATGAATTTGTATTGAATCTTATTGTGGTAATGCCAACATTATTTTTTTTTAAACCACAATATGATAACTTTATTATTAGTAAATGTGTTTAGTTTACAATTTTTGAATGTTTTATAGGTTTATTAGATCTGGCCAACTCCTATTGTGAAGTGCAACTGAAAAGGCACTGTGAGTGCATCATTAAACATGGAATAACTGTAGAAAATGTAGCAATGTTATATGCCGCTGCTCTTAAATATTCTGCAAAGGTAATAATTATAAATATTTTAGATTATAGTTACATGAATAGTGTAAATTGCAGAATTTAGGAAATCCTTATGTGCAATTAAATTTGAGTATTTGGAAATGAAAAGGTTTATTTCATTTCTGATATTATTTTCTTACAATGAGAAAACATATCATGTAAATATATTTTATTTTATTGATTGTATAGTGATTTTATTTGATTCATTTTCTAACTTCAATGTAAATACATCAAAGTTTTTTTATGCTTCAAATCACCTAAAGCAAATTTTTTTTGATAGTGTGTGTGTTTGTGATTTGGTAATTATATGTAGCTTAAAATATTTCACGAAAATCAAATTGTGCAATTAATTTGAACTATATTAATTGCCTTATAAAAATTTAAGCTTAAAAAAAAGGGGGTGGAAGGACATTTACAAAATCTTTTCTGCTGTATTTTATATTTATTTTACCTAGCCAGATTTTGATTTTCACTCAAAGTTCGTATAACTTTCTTCAGACTAATTAATTGGAAATCAAATAAGATAATGCTTCCTTTGCGTGGAATGAAATGGTTATGCATTCTTAAGGAAGGAAGAAGTACGAAAAAATTCTCAAAATTTTGGTTGAGCTTGAAAGGTATCAGTAATGATTGTTTCCTGTTCATGAGCGTTAGTTTATTTATAAATTGCTGGTAAATTGTGGAATAATTTATTTGTGACTGTAGAAAGAACTGATTTGTGAATGATTTTATTTGTAAAATTAATAGATTTTGTTAATTCATTATTTATTCATCTTATGGATAATTTACTCTATTGACCCAAATATATAAGAGCTTTCTGGTTATGCTTATTATTTTATTGTAATTTAAAGAGGAAATAATTAAATGGTCTTAATGAACTTTTTAAAATTAAGCTGTATGTGCAAGTATGAGTTTTCATAAGAGCATTAAGGGGGGAAATTATCATACATTTTAGCCAATATTTTAATTAAAATTCTTGAAATATACCCAATGTCTTGAAATAGACAAAAGATTTTAAAAATAGAAGAGAAAAAGAGAATGTTACATGAAAAACTGATTTAGCACTTAAGGTTATGTGTTTTAACGACTTCCCTTTGTAGAATTGTACTGGATACGAAAGCGAGGAAGCTCCCTAGCAGACATTACCTTCACATCCTTAACTGAAAATAAACGGCAGAAACTATCTCTTACATAACTTATTACACTATGCTGTTAGAGAGTTGATAATATCACTGTGCATTATTTTTTCATTTTTATAGCTAATAATAAATATGCTTCTACATTCTATTTGTGTTTCTTGTCTTAGCAGTTTGAATTATCCCTTAATGAGGTAGGAGATTTTCATTCTACTTTAATATTTGCTTATCGTCAGGTAACTAACTGCATAGATGACAAACAAAGAACTGGGCATTCCTTCATTACCCCTGAGGGCCCACCAGCGGCCGAGCGGTAAAATCGCTGAACACTGGTTGTTCGGTCCGAGGTTCGAATCCCGCGAACAGGCTGGCTGCGTGGGCGTTTTCGTGGTTTTCCCCATGTGTAACGTGTATACGAGCCAGTTTCCCTTAGAAAGTCCTCCACAAAGGCATCCCTCCTCTTAGGCAGATAGCCCTCGAGGCTTTGCCATAATCACACACACACACACACATTACCCCTGAGGTCTTCTTATAGTTGGAAGGAAGGTGACAACATCTGTGGAGGATTTGTAGCTATTATATCTCAGTTCGCAAAAAATTTTAAGCAAATTTTTTTTTTTGCTTAAAATGTAACCAATGTAACCAAAAAGATTGTAAATGTATGCTTGAGGAGCTAATTTCAATAAAAAATGGTATGTAGACTATTAAGTTATCCATTTTTATTATTACTTGCTCTCATTTCATATATTTTATTATGAATTATTATATTATTCATATATTTCGTGTCTTTTATGTTATTTTTTTCCATTCCCAAGTGATAAATTTCTAAAATTAAATTTATTAGTCCAAAAGGCTTTGTCCCTGAAGGACTATTGTTTTCGTTTTTCAATTTTGCATTGAAAACCTTAAAAGGCTGTATCACTTTTCAAATCGTTGCCACCGAATACTATCGCCCTGTATTATATTTGAAGACATTAAATAATGAAGGATCTGCATAAATGTATGTATGTTTCTCACATTGTGATAAAACAACGGTACCTAGAGCTATCCAGTTTTGAATGATATAATCCTACTGTGAATATGAGCATCTGAGAGCCCAAATTTGAATTTTGGAATTTGTTTTATTATCGATTTCATATTTTGTAAAACCTTAACGAATTTTTTATTAACAAACTCAACGATTTAATAACAAGCAATGGCGACACTCTACGGGGGCCTTTTTATCTCCAGCCGCGAAACTGTGTATCGGAAATTCTAAAGATATGCTCATTAAAAAATTATTTTGCGACATTGTTGAACTGAATTTTATGGTTTAAGTGCAACTAAGATGATATTTAATAAATAAAGGTAACACACAAAATGTAAAAAAAAAAAAAAAAAAGCCCCTTTGTATGTAATTTAAATCTGAAACCTTTCAGATTTTTTTTATTGATATATTTGTTCATTTTTTCATGCCAATTGGCTGTTCAGATGGACAATTATAGTTTAACTTTTCTTTATTAAACAGAGTAGCTGAAAGTTGTCTGTGTTTTCTTTCAGGAGCTTGAGGACTTTTGTTTTGGATTTGCCTTGAACCATCTTACTGCAGTTGCCCAAACAGAGGCTTTCAATAAGTTAGATGAACCTACTGTAAAGAATTTTATATTGAAAGCTGCACGGCATGGAGCCTTTAAATACTGACAAAGATTTTAATTTAGACCTTGCAGCATGTTATGAAGTATGTGTATTTAATTTTTTCACAATTGTATATTCAGTAACATGTTCTCATATAATATTGCATGTTGTAAATAAAAAGTTTCTATTTGCTAAAATTATATCTAAACATTAAATTGCATCTAGTTTAACAGCTTTATAATGTTCTTCAGACGAATTTTTGATAATTTAACAGTTAGAGCAAAAAGATTTAATTTTTTATTAAGTCCATAAAAAAAAAGCAGGTAACATTAATTAAGAAATTCACTAAGTACAATGCAGTAATAGTTTCATCATTGCTGAAATTCAAGTGTAATTGTATTAGCAATTTAATTATAAAATAAGTAGTGGTTGGATATAAAATAATTTTCTTATTTAGTACATTGCATTCTTTTTAATTTATCAGATTTAGTGTTTTGCTTAATTGTATGTTTAGACTAATATGATTTGTTTAAGAGAAATGTGTCTGATTTTTCTATCTTTATCCTTGATATCTAATTTTTGTACAAGTCTTGAATTACAATAATTTCTTTTAAAAATGAAAAATTTTGTAATTCTGTAACTTTAAGTGTATGATCATGTCCAGTGCAGTAAAAATAGTAATCGTAACTCAGTATTAAAAAAAAAAAAAAAATCATTATATTTCATAGTATTGCAATTTAAAGAAATTAAAGCTAGTTTAAATTTAGCTTCAAGGTATAATGGCATTGATCAAATGAATTTCATTAACTGTGACTACTTTATAAAGGAATGAAAAGAATAAGAGTATTGTTACATTATATATAATATATATACATATATGTGTTAGTTGGATTGCATTTTCTCTTACTTCACTATTGCAAATTTACTGCTGTGTTTTGTATCAAAAGTAATTGTAATAAAAGGTAAGGTGTTGAGAAGTCTCAAATGTGATCATTCATGAATGCATGCATTGCATGTGTTGCACTGTGTATTCAAATTAAGAATCTGCTGCTGAAGAAATAAAATACATTCAGTTAGCTAACTTCTAAATCATCACATGCATGCATAAATCAAAAATTTAGGGTGGTGATGCTAACATCATAAGTTTTTCTTTTAAAGAAAAATGCTTATAGACATTTAAAACATATCTTTATTTTAGACATAATTCGTTAGATAAAATATAATGAAGTAATAGAGGACTGGTTACTTGGTGTACTGGCTTTTTAGTCTTTGGCTTTACCTTTCTAAAGTGTAGGTGATGATTAAGAGAAGTGACAAACAGTATATTAGATCATTTCTGGGTAAAAGACTTTGGTCTTATTTTTGCTGTTGTGTAGCATGCATCATTTTCATTATATAAAAATCATGTTATAGGGATTAGTTTTGAAATGATGCACTTCAGAAGGATTTTTTAAAAGTATTTATTATTTTCAGGATTGATAACCGAATAAAAGAAGCTTTAGGGGATGTTAAAAATTAGAAGTAAAATTGTATCTTACTCACACACATCAGTCAAGAAGTGTTTGTATTTTTAACCACTATGATTGTGTGGTTATTGGAAATAGTGTAGCCCTTGAAAGTTATCAACTGGGAAAAGAATTCATTTGTTGAAGATTTTTTTAAATGACATTTAATTAAATTATTGTAGATGTGGAAACAACCATAAAAACACCTTGCAGCTGCCATGTTCAGTGCTTGAGAACTGAACCCTTATTGAACACCAGTGTATAGTGGTCTTTTCCACTTGACGACTGATAGACTGTAGCAAGGCCATGATGGTTTCTGGCAGTTTTCTAAGATATACATAAGATATATACCTGGATGTTAAATGAAAATGTTAAAGTGAACCAAGCTGAAATTTTGTGGATCCTCCGTGTAATAGTAAATAATTATTTCTTTTCATTATGTAACTCTGTTAAAACTCTGCAAAAAAAAGTTCCTAGACTTGGCCTTGCCACAAGGAAAGTTGTTAAGTTCATTGAGGATTTCATATGTAACATTGCATGGACTTGGCCCATACTTTCTTAAAATGACTGATGAATCCTGAAAGGAATGTACAATTTTTCGTTGTTATGGTGGGCCACTGAATGAGCAGAACTTAAAGCAATTAAATTTATATTTGTATCATTAAAATTCAAAAGAGAGCTGCATTTCAAAGAGTTAGTTGTATTGGTAATGAATTGGTGTGACACTCAGTGAGCATAAAATCCATGTTGTCATCATAAGATATAGATTTGAATTATATGCTGGTGTTGTGATTAGAACATTCCAATGTTGATTAAGCTGTATTTTAATTACTTGAAGAGAAAATTGAATGGAAGCTTTGGGTTGCTTTATGTTAACAGTTGTAATTTACTATTATTGCAGATTTTTTTCAGAAATGATGGGAAATTAAAACCATTTACAAATGCAGTTAAATTTCTAGAAAGTATTTGTATATTGGTTTGCTAAATTTCCATCATGGGTGAAGAAATCAGAAATTTTTGCATGAAAAATATTAAGATTTTCAGGTTGTTGGTATCTATTGTTAAAAAAATATACTGCTGTGCTTTCTTCTATCAAACGTGAAGAACTCTAGATTTGCCATTTTTAAAAATATATTTTTTGATTTTTTAAGTAAAAGGGGGGAAAAAACCACTGTTCAGTATAGTTAAAATTTTAATCATTCCCATAGTATTATTGTATTTACACACTCTGTTCTTATTTTATGTTTGTTTTATATTTGAGTAGTTTCTAAAAATGCTGAAAAAAAAAATCAACACTTTATATAATGTACTAGGTGGCAAATTACCAAACCTACTGATGAGACTAATGAGGTGTTTTATTAATAAAATGATTTTCCAAAAGAAGATAAAGGCAGATTTATTTGTTAATGTAAAATGTTGATATTTAGAGTAATGTTTAAAACTTTTTCTCCTCATTGCTTTTTGAATTAAAAGCAAAATACTTGGCTGATACTAGATTTTACTACATAAGAAGAGAGCTGTCTTTAAAAAGTAAATAGTTGCAATATGTATAAATTTAAAATTCAGTGATAAGGAAGGAATCAGTAAAGAATACATTGCCATTTGTAAGATGCCTTGCAAATCTGTTACCTTTAGTTCTATTAAAAATATATATGTGAATAAACTTGTTGGAAGTAAAGTTTTAATGTATTAGTGATAGTTTTTTTATGAAGAAGGTCCATCATGAATAAAGCCATAGAATCTGCTAACTGTTACTGGAATCGTATCTTTAATTTAATTGGCATCAATGTCCAGTGTCACAAATACCTGTCTCGAATTATATTGGTTATGGCTGTTTAACGTTTTCAGAATGACTGGCTTGAAATGAAAGAGGTTTTTAATCAATAACAGAATGCTAATATCTGAAAGAGCATTTATAAGTGTTGACTCCATAAGATGTCGTAGGATTGTTAAAGATGCAGAATGAGGAAATTGTCACATTGGATAGGAGATGATGCAGTTTAATAAAACATAGTAATAATAATTAAATACCTAATAGTAATGAAATACAATTTAATAATTCTAAATACAAAGGTTAAAAAAAAGCAGGAAACAAAAGGAATAAAGAATATTAAAAAGCAGCCAATGGGAAACTTGTAGTATTTAAGGAAATTATTTCAAGAGTTTGTTGTAGTCTAAGATGGTTCATGCTGTTACAGATATTGGAAGTTAAAGACTTAAAACTGAAAGCAATGAAAAATTTAGGAATAATTTAAGAGAATGTGTAAACTCTCATAGATGGCAGAAATCCGACTCAAGATTACCCTGAAATAAAAAGAATGTGTTAATGTTGTAACATGTAATGATTTTGAGTTTTATTAAGAGAAAAATATATATGCATGTAAAGGATTACTTAACTAGTTATTGGTTTATTTGATGAAGCTAGTTGTTAATTATGATTATATGAATTTCATTATATCTCAAATAAAAGCATTTTATAAGTTTGACTCGTATATTTAATGCACACATTATTAAAAAAAAGTGATGAAAAACTGCATGGTTTTATTTATTTATTTATTTATTTTATTAAAAACAACTACACATCTTTGGTGCTTCTATCTCTGGGTATGTATTGCAGAGTCTTGCAAATATCATTAGCATTGAACAGAACTTTATCGTTAACAGCATGTAAGCCATATTCTGCCCACAGAGAGATTTCTGCTATCCTGCAGTAAATATCATATTTAGTAGAAAAGTAAAGCAGTTTGAATGGTTTAAAGAAAATCATGTCAAAGCTAATCTTATTTCTCTTAGTTTCAAATTTGCTCCATTTCTGAAGATTGGAGAATAGATGAGGTAGGTTATGGCATTACTAAAAGAATCTGTATGATCAGTCATGACTGATTTGATTACTTTCAGCATTGTTGCTACTACTGTATCAGTTCTGTTATGTTTCTTTTTTCAGTAGGTCATCATTTTGAAGTGTATTCCTTCCTGTTATTAAAATTGTAAAGCATGAAGAAATTATTCTGCTATTCTTGAGTGGAAAAGTGTTGTGTAGAACTTTATTTCATATTATTGCAGAGTAAACAGAAGAAAGTAAATAGTAGATGAAACAGATGAAATGGAGTAAATGTTAGAAAATAGTCATAAGAAATCACAGGTTCCAGGCAAATTGTGACTGGACCTATTTTGTTTCTTATGGTGTGTCTAAATAAGGTAATATACTCAGCTTCCATTGAAGTTGTATAAGTTACAAAGGTATATAATTTGGAAAGTATGAGAAAAGCAGAACTTCTACAGATTTCCTTGTGGTTCTTCATCACAGCCCACTCTATAATGGCCTTGAAGTGCAAAAATCACGTGATCCAGATGGTTGATGTGTTTTTGTGGTAGTGTGTGATTGCAAATCCGTGGTCATGAATTTTTTGGATATATATTATGCCAATAGTGTTATGTAAGTAGATTATTTTGCTATTCTAAGTGATTTTAATAACTTAAGCTTTATGCAATAGTTTAATAGTTTTATCTATATTTCGGTTTATATTTTTTTAATTTTTAGATTTGTTTGGGAAAATTTATAGCTGTTCTCAAGCTTATCCAGGTGTTTCGTTTTAGCATCGAACACATTTACTCTAGTTTTAACATTTTGCATAGTATTGTTTGGAATATTTGTTTGGTATACTACATTAGGAAATTCTTTATTTTGATTACGTCTTTCTAACAACATATTTGAATACAGAATGCCTCGACACTGCAGTGTATTTGGTTGCAAATTAATCCAATTACAACAAAAACGAGAATGTCACTACTTATTCTTTACCCTAAATCACCTAAAAGAAGAGCTGAATAGTTAAGGAAAATTCCGTAAGATTTAAGTAAATTAAAAAACCCCATAATTTGTATAAAGCATTTTGATGAATCTCAGGTAATTATTAGAAAGTGAGAAGAAGCTTCGTTTTAAAAGCAATATTATAATTTAATCATCAAATATCAATGTCCCTTTAATGTCTCTGGTACTTTTCCGTTTTGCCGGCGCAAGCGATAAAGTCGCCAATAATGGTACAACCGATGTCAAACAGAATATTCTCACTGGTAACCTTTTACGCCTCATTTTCAAAACAAGTCGCAGCTTTTTCTTATCAGATTGATTGTTTCTTTCAATACTGGCATACAATTACGTATAATTTTTATCAGATAGTTCAGTTTTATGTCTAAGGCCATTTTCGGTAATTAAGTCAAATAGGATGCAATCACAGCGCTTACCGGAAGCCGAAAATATAGAAAAGGCAAAGTCAAGGGTTAAATTCATCAATTCTGATGAGAATGCATTAGTGAAGTAAAGCACTGCAGTTTTACATAATTTCTGAGTAAGCTATTCGTACGCATTGAAATATTTCTTGCATTTAAACTTGTGTTTGAAATAAAGATTTAATTTGAAATTAATGTAGATAATTACTGAGAGCATTAGATTTTTGTAGAGTAGTTTACGTGAGATGAGATCGCTTGGGGTCACGTGATATGAACCGGCGAATTAGGATGTTGAACCATGAAAGCATAGTAAATTCTTAAATTGAAAGCATAGTAAATTCTTAAATTAATGTCTTTTTGCAAATTTATTGTCTTTATTTATTGTCTTTTTACTAAGTTTTAAGCGATATTAAAATGTTTATGCCTTCAAAAAAAGAATTCTTAGAACTAAAATTTTTTAAATATTTTTTATGTGTATACTGTATGTTGTCGCCAATAAAGCCTGCTTGGCGAGATTTGCGCCGGCAAAACGGAAAAGTACCATGTCTCTTTTACCAGATTATGATAAGGATTATATAATCTTTACCTTTGTGAATATTGATGATTATTCAAATTTACTAATTAATGATTTTTCTATAGAAAATGTTCCTTCTGATATTTTACCAGCGCTAGTTTATGTTTCAGGTTATGCTTCTATGAAAGATTAAGGGTGGTAAAATGCAGTATTTTCCAGAATTGGTGGCAAAGTGTTCATTCGGTAGATATAGCAGATGATATTTTTGGTTTTCTTAAAGAATTAAATAGGGGGAAATTTAGTTTTTAATTTAAATTTTTTAATTTAACTAGTTTCTAAAATTAATTTTACATTTTGAAGTTGCTTTACTAACATCTTCAATTGTACATTTCTTATTTGGTGAAATTCTTAAAAACATGGAAGATACATTTCTTATATCAGGAAAGCAATTGGGTATTTTATATAAGTTATCTTGCATACAGTTAGGTCAAATTAACTTTAACTTAACAGATTCTTGCACTTGTGGAATGACTTTGCAAACTCAGTTAGAAAATATCTGTTTGACAACTTGTAAAAACTTGTTAAATAATTATACAAAATATAAAAATGACAAAATTAATATAAAATGTTCATATGAAAAAGTTAAAAAATTTACCAATTGATTTCAGTTAATAAGTCGCAACTGTTTACTTTTATGTATGCTTCTGCATAAATTATGTATAATACGTAGGATGCGTGTATATGGTACAGTTGCAAGTTTTATGAATTTATTTTTGATAGTGGAATAGGCCTGTAATTTGGGAATACCACTTTAAAAAAAAAATAAATAACTAAACTTAATCACTAACCTCTTAGGTGGTTTGGAAAAAGTGATACAACATAAAATTGGAGCTGGCACAAATAGAAGGCTCTCCTTTTTATGAATGTAATTAGCATTTCATTTTTCGAAATTTTCTTGAAAGATTTATTTATAGCATAACATGCATATCTTCATATCATTCATACATGCATAAGTTTATCTTCATACACAAATTTTCTAGCATTTAAGGAATTTTTAATTCATTTTGCTGTTTTGACAAAATTGTGATATCCAAGTTTTTATTAGTAAATAAAGTGATAAGAGATGACTATGGATATTTGCCTTCTAAAAATTTATATAGCTGATGCGATGGTAGCGGCATTGATTTTTACGAAATATTCTGCTCTTAATATTTAAATTTACATCCATAAATCTATTGAATTTTCCCCCTTTTGTGGATTTTATATTATTTTATGAAAATTTTTTATTTAGATTACATAAATGGATTCCATTTTTATTAAAATTGCAGAAATAAAGTTTGTATGTGGTGATTCTCAATGATATTTTTAGTTATATAAACAAAATACAATTGGTTTTAAAAATTATTGAAGATATGCATTTTAGCGCCTGTGAAAATATTACACAATGAAAAATTTAATGCTAGTCATATGACCTACTCACGTTTATTAATTTTACTTATATTTATTTTAAGAGAAAACTATTATTTTCAGCAAGTTAAACTTTGCAATTATAGTGAAGAGAAAAAGATCATCTATTCTGATCACATGACCTTACGAAACTGATTTCGCTTCAAGGCCATGATAGAGTCGGCCATGTTCTTCATTAAGACAGAAAAAGTCAGTAGCATGTAATTGTCGTACATACCCTTCCCCCCAAAAAAAGTAAATGATACATGTGTTCAGCCTAGCCCAGCCCAAATTAAGGTTACAGAGAAGGAAAAACTTATAAAAACATATTATAATATTCTTTTATTAAATGGTATTGAAACCCTATGATATGAAGAATTTGTCAAAAATATTAGTTATTTCTTAAATCTGAAAATTCACAAAGTAGATTTTTTTCATCAACATTTAGTAAATTTCTATAGCAACTTGACAGAACAATGGAATTATCTCCTACTGTAAAAATTCCTTTCTTTTTGTGTGTCATTTATTAACTTAAATATAATTGTATTGATGTATTTTTCATTAATTTCCCTTTTTCAGTTTAGTTTATTTTGTAAGGAAAAACTCTTTATTATAGTTATTTTTGTTGTATTTAAATTTTGTTATTTTTCAGATTCATGTTGACATTTCAAGAGCTGTTCTTGCCTGCAGTAACTTAGTATGTAACATAAAGCAATAGTTATTTTGATATTGTAGTAAATATGTCTCTGTGGACTCAAATTAGGTTTGTGAAGTTAAAAGCAATAGTATGTTTTAAATCTCTTCATTGTATTCTGCCATTTGTTTCTTTATAAAAATAGAGTAGTTGAATTATGAAAATTACCATTTAAATTCTCTGATTCATATTTTATAAATTATTTTATTTGAAAAGGAAATAATAATGGCACATGTATGTTTACAGATGAACAGTGAAGCATGATTGTAGTGAATTATTATTATTTTGGATTGTAATATGCATTTTTTTCCATTTTTAATGCATTTTTTATTCAAATATTTTGTGTGCTTTTAATTTTTTTAACAATAAATGGGTGATTGATAAATTTAAGCTAACATAATTAAGTATAATATATTTTTTGAGATTGAGCCTTAATAATTGAACTAGAAATATCTTCACTAATGTCCATGGGGTATATAACATCTTATTTTGCAATCAAACGAAACATTTGTTTTATTCTAAAGCTAGTCTTCACATGTTTTTTTTTTTTTTTTTTTTTTTTTTTGTTGTTGGTTTATAAAAATATTTAAAAAGGATGTTTTCTGAGTTTAAGATTTAAAAAGCTAAAAAATTTCTATTTGAATAGATTGTGGAATAAGAGTGTGTTTGTCATAAGACTTATTTTTGTTATTATTATTAATCTTACACTAGAACTCTTGGCGTTTATCACTGATATTCCAAGATAAACTTTTGTAATGAAAATTTGGCATTTTCAATGGGAAAAATCACCTTGGTATTGAGAATGTGAAGCACAATTTTTATTCTATGTTATGGCAATTTTTGAACAAAGTAGAATGTTTTGTAATAATTTATATACAAATGTTTTATAACCATACAGTTGTTATATATTATGAATAAAATTTTATAAGGAGAAAAGGAATTTATAATGGCACATATATGATGTATAAAATGTCAAAATTAGTATAAAAAATTAGTTTGTCTTCCAGCTGAAAGTTGGCAATTAAAGACATTTTGAAAGTAACCTTCAGCCATTTTTAAAGCAATTAAGAACAACTGAAGAGTATTTCAAAATTACATTTCTTATAAGCCAGTTTCGTATGTAATGTTTAAGCTCTTGAAATTCAAACAAACATGCTTTTGCAAGTCTAGGCTTTAAATAGGTATTTTAATGTCAATACTGCATATGTAAATTCTGCATTGAATAATGAAGCATTGATCTTCTGAAGCACTGAATCAGTATTTAATTCATTGCTTCAGATGTACATTCTTATAATACAATAATTCTGATAACGCAGCATAATGGCAAAGTACAAAAAAATGTGTGCTACAGTGAATTAATATATTTAATTATTAAAAACTGCACTTTCATTGCACAAAATGGATTGCATAGCTTTGTTTATTGCATTTAAAAAAAATCCATGGTATGGTGGCCATGGTATGGTATCCGTAGTTGTAGTTATACTTCAAGGTTTAATTTTATTTAAAAATTTTTTATGTATTCATTAAGACAAAATTAAAAATATAGGCCAAGAAAGATACCCAGAGTAGCAAATTGTAAATTATATTCTGCAGCTACTGCACATTCTAATTAAAATTTGTGTTATATATGGCTATCTTAAAAATTATTAAATACCTGGAAGGAATCAAACAAATGTGAGCAGTATAGATATGATAGGTTTTTGCACATATATAAACAGGGAATGAAATGTCTGATAAATTTCTGATACAAATGAAATCATTCCTTTTTGTAATAGATATTGTTTTCCATTTTTATGAATTATCGTTTAATTTCTAAGCCTGTGAAAGGCAGGATAATACAATTTACTGTTCTGCTTTGTGAGATAATTATTGCTAATTTCTCACATGATGTAAATTAGAATTTATATGTGTCTGTTAATTACTTAACAACATTTCAACGTAAAAGAAGTTCAGTTTTTGTACTATTATGTATGAGGCAGTTGAATCAAAAGGAAGGAAAGCATGGCATTTTGTACTGAAAATATTTATTTGTTGCCCAAGATATAGTTTTTATAAATATTTCCTGAAATAGTTACAGTTTAAGAGTAATCCTGAAGTAATTACAGTTAAGTTACAGTTTAACATCTGTTCTGAATCCATCATTGTTATAATATATTTTTTTAGTAGATTTAGGTGTTTGTTTTACTGCTAAGTGCTCCAAATTATTAATTAAAAGTAAATTCAAGGAAATTATTTAATTATATATGAAAATGGGGTTATGTAACTTTCATTTTTTATATTTAAGTTGAATATGATTAGGCAAACTGAATCAGAATAAGGAATATTGAAGACTGTCTTGAAATTCATTGCCATATCTTCAGTTGTTTGAAATATGTAAGAATAATATATTTTATTAGTAATTAATAGTGCAATTTTTTATTTTAGTTAATTAAGAAAAGTATTTTTAATCTATAATAAAATTTAGATTTCCGTTTCTCCCTAGTGTGATATACTTAAGTAACTTTTGCATTTGCCAAATTTTGGACTATATCACACTAGTGCCAGTTATATGTCCCTTCTATTTTCTGCAAATTTTGTTACTTCAAAAAATAATAGAGTTAAATGTGTGTATGTAAATTTTATATTTGATTGCAGTTTGTTATGCATTTTACATTTATTTATTCTTAAAATCTCTCTGTATGAACTTATTATTTTATTATTCTAAAAAATTATGATCTCAGATATTTTCATTTTCTTTATTCAGAATTAATTAAGGAAAAAAAATTAAAAAAGTGACCAACAGTATTTATTATTGTAACTTCATGTATGATTATGACATTATTTGATTGATACAGTGCACATGATAGAATAATGAATTTGGTATTAATATATAAAAAATAATTTGATATTCTTCCAGTTCTAGCAAGGAATATGATTGCAAAAATATATTGTTGGCCTTATACTTTTTCTTAGACTTTTATCATTCTTCGGAACTTATTTATAGTATAATCAGAGATGCTTGTTTCAAATAATTTATTTTAAAAATATATTAACTCCATTTGCTTGTTGAAATTAAGAAGAAACATTACTTTTTGCACAATTAACTTTTGACTGATGTTTATCCTGAACAGTATAGTAGCTAGTAGAATGTTTGCTAGTTTGAAACCAAGATGTGGGTTTGAATCCCACATAAGGCTTATCTGTATGTAGGTGTCCCCTCCCATCCCCAAAGAACCCGTAGTAGTATCATGAAGGTGAGTTTGCTAAATGACATATGGGTTCGGCTATTTCTAACAGATGTTTATAAGGAAGTATCCAGTCACCTTGGGGGGGGGCAGAGTGTATGGATAATTTTAGTTGATGCTTAATCTTATAAAAAATTAATATTCATTTAAAGGGCTTTAAAATGTTTATGGTTAGAGTTTAATAAAAGCTCATAATATTTATATCATATTGTTTAATAATCATATTGTTCTAATCTAAATAATCTAAATATCATATTGTTTGTATCAACAAATATGTTGAAAGTTTAACATTTCACATAATTTATATAATGCTTAGCATTCAGACTTTATATGACTTGAAAACTTGTATCAGAAATGCTGTAAATTAAATATGAATGTTATATACTTTGTGGGACCAAATTCACTGCTGTCCTTAGACTTTCTCTAATGCTAAGTGGACATTTAAACTATAGATTGTTAAAAGCCAGTAGCATTTCATTTGCATGTTAAGTTACATTGTCTGATAAACTGTGTGATAATTACAATTCATATCTCATGTGAGTTTTTTCCCCCTGCTTTTAATGTGAAATTCTCTGCTGTAGATTATGAAATGATAATCACTTAGGTTATGACAACATTTTCTTATAAGTTAAAGATTGATAAATTTATAATTGAATATGTATTTCATGTCTTTCAAAGGCAGAATTTAATCTGCAGTTACCCCCCCTCCCAAAAAAAATCTTATAATTTTATTTATTCCTATCACCTGGATTAGAGAAAGTTGTGATGATTTGAAAAAGATAAAAATTGCTTGTAAATAATAAACCCTGTATGTTACTACATTGATATACAGTTTATGATAACTCAACATAAAGTGACTTTCTATTTGAGCAATACAATTAATGTGTCTTTTATGTCATATTGTCTGTCAGGTGCTTGATGACATTCATCATTTTTTGTGCTATGCAGCTGGAAGCTGTATTCTTATTACTTAATATTTTTATATGAGGCAATTTTATTAATTTATGTGATTTTTATTGTTACACTGCATTTAATTTTGTAATTTGATATGGTGCACAGTAAATTTTCAACTCTGTATATCTTTGCACTGTACATGCAAAATAATTGCTTTTGCTTACTGTAATAGTGATTAGTAAATAGTATATGTGAGTGATGTAAGCTCATAATGTTTCATCTTAGCTTAAATAAAGGGAGAAGCTCTTTATATCCCTGTCATATTTATTAATTTTTGACATTTTTTCATTTATTACAAAACCGCTTTTCTAAGCTTTTTGTATGGTGTAAGTGAAGCTGTTTTGTCTGTGCTTTTTGTCTGTTATACAAATAATACAACCAAAGAATTATTAGTGGCATTCCTTGAAGGTCAGTTCTTGAATTAAGTAAAGTAAAGCAGATGAAGGGTCTTTGGATTATCTCCTTTGAGGATTAGTATTGCAAAATATGCAGTGTTCTCTGTTTACATATCATATTAATATACTTATTATTAATTAAATATGTGTTTAATTCTTTGTAATTAATTTCCCTTTTCTCCTTCTTATTTTAAATTAATTTTACTTGAAATAAACAATTTATTTTTGCTTTTAGTAGCTTGAATAGAGTTGCATCAATGATAATGATGAAACAGTCATAAATTTATATGTAAATATATTCACAGAGATGTACTACATAATTTATTTTAGTTATAAGCAGGAACTTACATAACTAAATGCTTGAAATCAATATTTGATTTGAAACAGCTCATTAAATGTTAGTTTTAATTCTTTATTTATAACTCATCATATTACGTAATATTTTTACTTTAAAACCATTTTACCGTACGTGTGTGGTCTGATAAGGAAAACTTATGTAATTGAAATTAATTAATGTATGAATTGTTTCTATTAATTTAAACGAAGGAACATATAAATCTTTTCTTTGTTTAATATTATCTTTGTTTTGTTGTTAGAGAAAATTTCTTCATAAAATTCCATAACTGATATATCTTAATACATATATATATATATATATAAACATATATATGCACATACACATTAGAAAATACCTTTTTATTAAGGTATCATTTTATTATATTATTATTATTATTAATTTTCATTTACCTTAGTGTACATGTTATTAAAATGTGTTGTTATTATAAAGTGATGCTTAAGCAGAAGATATTATGATACATTAGTAATTTGCTAAAAACTTTAAGAGTAAAGTGAAGACAAAAAAAAAAAAAAAAAAAAAAAAAAAAAGATGATATAAAAATATGATGTAATGTTTTGATGAGAAAAACAGGAAAACTAGGCTATAAGGCTATAAGCTAGTCTTCTTGTCTTCGCCCCCTTCTTCCTGTTATCAAAAATAGAACGCAGTATCACAATACCGTTCAGGTTATTTTTTATGCTGAGAGTTAAAATTCTTGATGTTTAATGTAGTTTGTGGTTTATGGAGCAGTCATTTAAAATTCTGAAATAATCTGTACAGGGTGTATGTATTGAAGAACTTAATAAATAGGCAGAGCTTTCAATGTTGAAATATGCATGTGTAATGGTTAATTCATTATGGCAAAGCATGCGAGGTTATCTGCCTTAGGAAAGCTGCCTTTGTGGAATACTTTCCAAGAGAAACTGGCTCATATTCATGATAAAAAAAGAACGGAATAAAACTTCTATGTAATCAGCCTGTTGGTTAAAAACTGTGTTTAGGCCAATAACTAGCAATCAACGATTTATTTGCATGATCACTGGTGGGTTGTGTATCTGAAGAGTGTTTTTCCCTTAATTTACACTGATTATTCTGATTTTTGGCCCTTTAACCTAAAGGAAAATATATGAAATATTTTGGCATAATTTGATTTTAGAAATGTTTTATTGAACTAGTAACAGTTGACTCTTTTTTTTTTTTTTTTTTTTTTTTTTTAATTTCTGATGACATTGGCCCTAACTGTTGTAGAAAATAATTAGTAGTCATGTTATTTTTATAAAATAGTTGTATATCAAGCATGTTTTTTATAAAGTAGCTTTATATCAAGCATGGTTTGCCTTAATAAATAACCTCAATTACATTAAGTGTGATTTAAAATTTAATATGCTTATATAGTAAATATCAATGTATAAAAAGTCTTGTTAAATGTATTAAAACAGGCTGTCTATGGAATAGATGCAGCTGGTCAGTTTGAAACAACAACATAAATATATTTTATTTATTTATTTTATATAATATATATTTTGTAAGTGCTGTAGGTTAAGAATATGTAAAATGGTCACACAGCAGACATTTTGTGCTATATAACTATTTGATAATTTTTACATTTTAGAAAGTATTTCTATAAAACATGAAAAGCAAAATGAAAGTATTGCTCTTTTTAGATAAGTTTTGCAAGCATATTTGCACAAGTAATTGCTGGAAATGTAAATCAGATGTGTTCGGTTTAAAAAATATGTGGGAAATGTATTATTGTGTAGAATATTTTTTATTGTATAGAAAGTAAAAGAGTTATAAAGTATGAATGTTATTGAGTTGTTGTATAACAACATTCACATTTTATATTTTAAGTAAGAAGATTTACTTAACTTCTTCTGATATTTTGAGTTTTTGGATATTACCAGTGAGGTTAGTGCCGGAAAATGTACATAATGATGTGTCATATAAACTGAATGAATTTTGTTAACTTTTTTCCTTTTGTATTATGTCTACTTCTGAGAGTGTATATAATATTTTATTTGTATATTAAGTTATGAGTTTATACGAAAGTTAAAATTTTGTTTTTACTGTTTTGTAAATAAAATAAAATAACATTTTGTAACTTATTGTGTTTGTTTTAATTTTATGCTGTTTGTAATATTTCATTATTTTAAAAGAAATCTAACAAATCATCATAATAGCTAATTTATTACAAAATTTAGTAAAAAAAAAAAAAAAAATATGTGACGAATCTGACCTGGGGAAAGGAGTATTTAAATATCCCATTAACACAACCTTAGTAGGTACTGATGCAGAAGTACCAAAAGAAGGGAAACTAAACTCTAAAGTTGAAGAAGACTCCAGAATCCAAATAAAAAGCTTTCACTGAAGGAATTTGATGATGAAGCAAGAAAAAGGAAAAGGTGTGCTAAAATTCTGTATGAGGAAACTAACCTCATGATATCACCATAGAATAAGTTTTATCTGCTTATATTATAAATATTGCTGTGCTAAAAACGTATGCGAGAAGAAAAGTATTATTTTCAATATTATTATTTAGTAGTGAAGCAGAAACACAGAAAATTACAGGATCTGGCCGCTGAAAAAATTATGAAGTCGGCATGTTGCATATGTTTTTTAATAGTACAATTTCCTGTTTGGGGGGGGGCTAAGCAAAACTATCTAAGGAATCTGAAGAAAAGAAGTATAAAAGCGCTTCCATAAGTTGTGTACAATAAAAAAGATGCAGTTGAGACTTTTAAGGAAAAAAAAAAAAAGGTGCAGATAGGTTTTGGGGGGGGGTGTTTAAATTTTTTAGCTCCTTTTCGTCCGACAAAAGTTAAGTAAAATTTAAATGACTTCAAGATGATGATGATCTAGCCTTAGATGACGACAATATGAATAACAAATGTTAAATGAAAACTGATTAAAAAATTACAAAATCCTTCGAGGCGAAAAATTTAATTGTAGGAATTTATTGCGGTAACCAAGTAACTTTCCTCAGATATATGTATATATTTATCTTTTATTTTGTTGCTGTATTTTTTAGAATCTGATTTCATTTGCGATTAGCTCTGTTTATGGCTTTTCAAAATTATTTAATTTTATACGGCCGATATGTTTTTCATTTCTCCAATCAAAAATTGTTACTCACTGAGTATTTTAAAATTCCCTTTTATGGAATTATTTCGCAAAATTTTCTCCATATCATCACAGTGAGTGAAAGGCTGTGGTAAGGAGGCAGATAGCATTTGTTCAATGTCAGCAAATATACGACTGAAGGACTTTCCCGAGGCTAATCCTGTATGATGACAATCAGCATTTTATTAAAGAAAATAAGATTAATTTAAAGAGATTTTAGTAAGAAAAAGAAATTCACATTGTCTTTTGTAGTTATGTATTCATTCCTTCTGTTCACAAATGAAACATTGAGAGTGCCTCACGTAAAACCGAGGTACGGTTCGAAGAATTCTTTTCTCTGGCTCCTTTCGATGAGCACTGTTTTCGCTGAATTTGCGCCATGAATATTGCAGTCTTGAGATACTAGTCGGGTATGTAGGTTTCCAAGCTGTTGATATCCTTGACCAACAAGATCATCATACCTTTCACCAATTGAACATATTTGTGATATATTAGGCTGCTAGATTCCAGCATCTCCCAAAATGTCCCAGATTTGGAGGAACAGTTGAGGAATGTCTAGCAAAATGTATCGCTAATTAATGATTTGAACATTCAGTGAGTAATTGTGAGCCACTGATGTGTTCTGTGGCCTTGAAATTTTAGTCATATCATTACCTGTTGTATATTATTACCTGTTTACACATATTTAATTTCAATTAAAACAGTTTTATTTCATACTATTTCTTCCCCCCCCCAAAAAAAAGAGTATATGTAGGCATTTATTTTGAAAGACTCGAAGCCTTTTATGATGAGCTGCGCGAGCTGTAGTCCAGGCTAGTGCGTTATATGTGGGAATAGGCTTCATAATTGTTTTATGTGGAAGTTTGGAGTCTATTGTTAAAACAGAATTTTTTTTTTTTTTTTTTTTTTTTTTTTTGACACTGCAGTTTTACTCATGAGAGTCGCATCGCTTTGTTGAGAACATCATTAATGTGTTTTTAAAAAGTTGTGATACATGGCATCTCCTAAATACTTGGCTGAAGATGAGTTTGTGATGTTTTTCCCAAACATAGTAATATCCAAAGATGTTTTCAAAGTTAGTGTTAACTGGGCGTCGAATTCTGTGGTTGTGGAAAAGCATAAAATAGCCTTGATCTGGGTTTATTTTAAATCTCCATAATGTTGCGCAATTTGTCAAAGCTTTCTTGCGTCTTCATTAATGCATGGTTAGTTGTAACTGAATCTGCAAATAAGGCAGTATTGTAAGGTCTTTTTTGCTATTATATGAATTACTGCATTTGGAAAATTATAAACAATAAGTTCTTGGATGAGACCTGCATGCCAAATCTTATCGATGGCTTTCTCGAAGTTTAGAAAACATTACGCAATAGCATTTTTATTGTTCAAAGCTTCATAGATTGTTTGAGCTATCCTCAAAATTTGATGAGTAGTATAATGGTCATGTCCAAAACGAAACTTCACAGGTGTAATAATTTGGTGCTTATTAATTAAGCTATTAATTTGTTTGAGACTAAGTTTCTCAAATAGTTTTCCTGAGTAGACAGCAGACTGATAAGCCTGTAATTTGTGAGATTTGTGGTTGTTAAGTACTTAATAAGCTCATTTCTACCTTGCAAGGAACAAACGATTACCGATTTGCGCATGTGCATTTGCCTTTGTTTCTTCAACTAGGGAATTTTTTTCCATTTAAAATATAACAGTTTTTCTTTGTTAAGTATGTTACAAAATAGCGAGCTGTGGTAAGATAGCTTCCCTGCAAATCGGGTTTAGGGTTACCAAAAAGTGGCAAGTAAAGGCAGGGTTGCCAAATTTGGTGTGAAATCCCCCATTTAGCAATGTTTGGCGACAAAATTGGCACTATTCCATAGACTAAGCGAGAACATTCTAGAACAAATTCTTACCGGTTTTCCCAAGAATGTTACCGAAGGTAGGTCAAAAGCTATATATATCCTGCCTGTACGTGGAGTAGGATAGTATGCTGAATTCAGAGATTAGCTCGAGAGCGATCGACCGAGTCGGAAACTTTGCCGGTAAGCTGTCTTCACTTTTATAGCCTGAAGGCTGTGTTGCTGATTGTTTCAGCGTGTTTATCGTAGTTTTTCAACGGCTGTAAACATGTCTTTAGAACCCTCCTGTGTAATACCGACGCATTAATTGTGTTTTGAT